ACCCCCCTTTATAAAAGCTTTACGTGAATAATAGGTTTCAGGTTACAAACTGAAACCAATGCGTGTATACATTTAATTGCAAAAGTTACAATGGTGGTAAGCTATATTCAGCTACAATAGGCAACAAGTGAGTAGCCCATCAAAGTTAGTAAATGTTTCTTGCAATATTAATTCACAACCAAATGTCCTTTTGTCTGTACACGTCACTCCTCAAATGATGATATGTTTTTGTATATCATGCACAATGTATTTTATGCCACTTAATCCCATTACTTATAATTGTTTTCTCTTATTGTTACTGAAATAGCCCACTTTACTTTTCTCTATGTTTTTCTTTTCTATGTTCAATAGGAAAAAAGTGAGTTGGAAGTTATCATCTATTTTTAACTATATTTTCCTGCATTGTCATAAAGTTGGTGAATTAATAAGACACAGATGAGAAAAAAAGGGACATTGAAGCAGGGAACGACAAGATATTAAGACATTTATTTCCCGGAATCAATTTGGATCTTTTATAGGTTTGTGGCTTTCTGTTTAGCTTTCTGAGCCAAATCCAAAACCCTGATGATAACATCTGGATTATTTTTCTCCAATTTCTTTATAAATCTCCCTTCAGAGCCACAAAAGATTTGCAAAACTACAATCCTGAGAAATGTACAAAACTGAATTTGTAACATAGGTGGATTTCACCTTTAATCTATTCTACAGTACTGCAATACTACCTGGTACAAGTGTTTGACAGCAGCTTTCAAATCAAAACTGCTCCACCTGTTAAAAATCTGCTCAAAGATTGTTGGTCAACCCTGTCAGAGACTCTATGACTCAGCCTATCATAACAACCTAGTGAGGCTGTCCAACAACATCATCTCTGACCCAAACCATGTTCTGAACAGTGAATATGAACTGCTACCATCTAATCGGAGATACAGGATCCCACGATTCAATAAAGTCAGACTAAAGCACTCCTTTGTGCATCAGTCAATCCTCACAGTAAATACAGAGCTGAATCCCAGATCAAATGCACGCTGAAGGGTCTTTGAGCATGTTTTCTCTCACTGATTGTGCTGTTATGTTAAATGTTTGTTGTTTGTGTTTCATGTACTGTGTCTGGATATTTGTCTATGTTGGTGTTGGACATGGAGCTGCTGTGACGCAAGTAACATTTCAGACTTGGTCTGACTAATAAAGTAATATCGTATTGTATCGTATAATGCAGAGTTACAAAAATAAAAAACGTAAACAATCCAATGGGAGACAAAATGTAAGTTTCAAGGTACAGAATGCAAGCAAAATGACTTTATTGTAGGTATTATATTTCATTTTTCTCGCAACAGTACAGTTAACACATAGCAGACTTTTTAGTCTGATATAAATTATGCAAGTACCAAAAAGCTGAGTCTGAAGTTGCAGTGTATATCTTTATCGTAGGTATATTGCTATTATCTCATTTTTTTTATTAACTGCTTAAAGGTCCCATGTCATGGCCATTTCTACTGATCATAGAAAAATATAAAGTATCAGACTCACAGCCTCGCCGCATCCCGCCATTTCAGGGAGGAGAAATCGGCGGAGCTGCAGCTGAGAAAAGATTGAGTGTGTGAGGAAGTCCGCGGATTGGTCCATTTGGACCAATCCTCGGACTTAACGTGACGGCTCCGCGGACGTAACATAATGGCTCCACGGATTGGTCCATTTGGACCAATGGGTCCATTTGGGTATGGGCACGTCACTGTACCCAGGAAGAAAAAGAGAAATCTCCAACGAGGCGTTCTGGGGCAGCATAGACAGGTCTTTTCTGTGTTAGAGTTTTACTCGCTACAGGGTGTACTTTGAGGGTTTGTGACTTTGCTGACCGTTTACATGCAGAAAAACCTTCATACATATGTATTTGTACGGCGACCTTGAGAGCCTTGAAAGGCGCCTATATAAAATAAATGAATTATTATTATTATTATTATAACACACAAGGGGACAGGTAATAACCGGAAAAGCATGACTTGGGACCTTTAATGATTAACCGATTAGCGAAAAGTGTCCCTGACAAAATATCCCATAGTTGCCTGTTTGCTGGACTGTCTGAAAAAAACAATTAGATGCCTCAAACAGTTTTTCGTGGAATATCAAGAAATGCAGCACAACCTCACATTTGAGAAGCTAGAGACAGTCATTGTTTTAGCTCTAGGGGTTGTGGGGGAAACCTCTGAAGCAATTGGAAACAGGACTCAGAGAGACAAGAGGAGAGCTGGAGCTTTGATGGCAAACACTGACGGTTTATTTGGAGCTTTGGCCGGAGAATTCACAAGACATGTCACGGGCCACGATCTGACCACACAGTTGAGATGCCAAACCAATTCTGAAGAACTCTACCCCAGACCCATGTATATAGCTAGTTCAGAGAGAATAATCAACATTGTGCACAACAAGATAGAACCATAGTACCTCTATCAGCTGACACCAACAGGCAGGAACAGGGAGTCAAAACACTGAGAGCACAGCAGCCAAGGTTACAGGTGCATGTGCTCAGTCAGGACAGTTTAAACTGATAAACTGGGTCAAAGTTATGGGCCTTGGAAAATATTTCCCCAACAGGGGTTACTTTTGCAAAAAGCTTATTTAAAAAAAAAAATCAACCTGAAAAAAAAAACTTCTTTGTGAAATTTGACATCATGTTACATCATCATTTTACCGACTGAGCTCAAATTTCATGCTGTTCTGCCTTACTGCCATTGGAGGCTGTGAAGTGTCCCTCTGAGGGTTTCTACTAAACCCTCATGGAGAATATTGAAATTATCACTTTTACAACATTGATAAGCCTGCTTTCTTAATGAAACAGTTCTTACTAAACTTTAACAGGAAAATTACTTAATTGCTTTTTTATACTAACAGAGCAGGGCGTCTAGGTTTTAAATGGTGAGTTTCCTGTTAATGTTTCTCTCTCTCTGGGAGCTGGGGGAGGGGGTCACACAGACACAAACTGTGAGTAGGGAAGAAGAAAGGGGGTGGGGGCTGGACAGAAGAATTTACAGTAGAAATTAGATAACAAGCGATACAACATGACTGGTTAAATCAAATCAAATCAAATCAAATCAAGGTTTATTTATGAAGCACATTTAAAAGCGATTTTTGGTCGGGCCAAAGTGCTGTACATGTAATAACTACAATCACATAAAAACACATTTCTATAATCACAATAAAAGACAATAAATTACAACAGATATTTAAAAAGAAAACACAGGGTTAAAGTCAGGAGTTGGTTAAACTTCAGCCTTAATTTCTAATGTCCTCTGATAGGGCCTGACGAGTCAGCAGCCAAACACACACACACACACACACACACACACACACACACACACACACACACACACACACACACACACACACACACACACACACACACACACACACACACACACACACACACACACACACACACCACACACACACACACAACGAATGCATGCATACATGCCATACAGCCAGCCACAACTGCATTTCAGGGTTTTATGAAAGAGATCATTCAGAAATGCTGCAACATGCTTAAATCATTTAACGTTGCGGCATTTAAGACACCCTTGGGTGCTGAGTTTTAGAAACCTCACCAACTTATAATGTCACAATGCATTGAGTTAATATAATGTGTTTGTATCTGTGGAGGGGGATGTGTGAACGCTGTACAAAGACATTATTTACAGACTTAGTCACATATCCTCAAGTTCTCCCTGCTCCACTTTGGTTAAGATTAACAACCTTTGTCCACAGTATTTCTCAACAGCCTCTCTGAACCGAATAACACACCACTGCACTGAGTTTTAATCACTCACTCAATCAAATCACAGAATCAATAACTAATGGCACTGGCACTGTAAACATGTGCACCCTTTGCCCTTTGGATCCAACTTTGAATAATACCTCAGGGCTGATCACGTCCCAGTCCCACTGTGTGATACTACGCTCTACAGATGTTTGAAGGCCAGATAAAGAGAGTCTGTAAAAGGAAATGATCAGACACAAAAACAAGTGATTAAATCAATGCAGCGTTTCTTTTAATCTCCTGATGTGATATCAAAGTCTGGTATCACAGAGTGTATTGGCATAATGATGGCATGTTACAGTGCAGAGGACACTGATTGTGTTTACAATGGGAGGCTCTGACGAGCTTTGTGTCCAAACAGCTCGTGATGAAAGACCCTACCATACAGCAGATCTGCTCACAACAGCAGATACACTTTGGCCTCAGGATTTAAGTGATCAATACTGAGATAAAGTAGTGCTTTCGTGCTGCTTGGATTGCTTTATTGCAAAGACCAGTGAATATGTGTCTTAATATAACTTTCAGTAGGCTATTCATGCTTTTTTTAATCAAATTGGGCTTTAAATACTTAAAATCCCACTAAAAGAGAAAAGCTTCACTCAATTTCACAGTTGAATCACTTGTAATATATTTAACAGAATTTTGTTTGTGTCATATAGACTGGTCCATACACCCTTTTATATAAGTATATTGTTTGAATTCACTAAAAAGACACATCACATTTGACCTTTAACTTCACCTTTGCTCTGGTGATATTAATAATGACCTATATTTCAAAATACTTTGATTTACTCCATTTAGAACAACAGCACCATCTAGCGGACACAATCAGATCTCACAGAGGATACAAAGCATACGCCATACGCAGTTTGTTGTTGTGTGTTACTGTTGGTCTTATATGTGGTGCTGCACAGCTGGTGCTAATTAGCTAATCATTCAAAGCACAGTTGTTTGTACACATTACTCAAGCAAAGACTTTTCAAAAATGTATTGCTTTTTGTGGTTACAGTTGAAAAATATGTATTATTTTCTAAAAAAGTCTCTTTATTTTCTAGAAGTATGTATTTACAACGTATAATATAATGATTATATGCAGTCATTCTAAATAATATATATTATTTAGCAAATGTATATTATCGAATTATAGTCGTGATTAAAAAAAATCGTAACCATTTTGTGAGTGTGTTCCTTCAGGCTATCTAGGATGTTTCTCATGGCTCTTGATGAGAAATTAAACGCTAACGCTTGCTAAAAACTACAAGTCCCACAATGCAACAGATGTTTTTACATCCATGGGAAAGTCAGGGGGAAGTCAGGAACTGTCTAAACTTACTTTCATTTTCGCTTTTTCTGCTGAGTAACTGTGAGTATTGGCTCGTGTCGTGCACGGCATTCAATTACACACAGTTATTGTTCTTGATTACAGTTTGTTCAAATTTAAAGGCTTTTATAAACGTATTAACTAACTTTTCATCCACAGAGACGAAATGGCTGCTGTGGGTATTCGTGTCGAGTCGAAGAAACAGGTGAGCTCGTATGTCTGCTAGCATGATGGTATCAACCCCTTTCTCTTCATAGTGTCTGTCTGCCTGTCTGTCTCAGGTGTTCAGTTAAATGTTTGTTCTGATAACTAGACATACAGATTTGACTAGATACTGTGTGTTTAAATATATTCGTTAATCCCTCAACTGAACCTATAATCTCTTCACTTGCAGGTGGATGACTTCTGCCAAAAGCTCACCAAAGAGGTAATGTGTATTATGGTCAGAAACCTCTAGCAGCTGTCCCATAAATATGTTTGTCACATTATATAAGAAACGTTTTGAGTCTATGAACCACATTTGTTTTGCTTTTTTAATTAACAGGCAGAAGAGCTGGTTTACAAGTTTTTCCCTCAGAAGATTGAAGAGCTGCAGATGCTGCTGAAGGTATATGTGACTCTATTAGCCATATCGTAGTCTAGTATTCAGATCCTTTTATGAAGTAAAGGTACAAACACAGTAGTGTATAAATACTACATTTAAAGTAAGAATATTGCATGAAAAATCCTACTTAAGTCCAGCACGATTAAAAGTACTTATTTACTTTCCAGTACTGGGCCCTGAAGGGGATTTTGGAGTGAGTGGCTGGTCAAATTAAAACATTCACTAGCCATTAGGCATGTGTACCAGAAAGTTGATTTTTTTTTCTTTTTTCTCAACAATAGAACTTTTTATAGTTTTAGTGTCTTTCGGCTGATCCTGAGCTGTAAGAGCACTTGACATATGAAAGGGTAATTCAATCCCTAAAAGATGTAACTAAACATTTGTTTTTCTGTCAGACTTCCCTCAGCTATGATGACCTGGCATCTCTGAAGGCTCCGCTGGACATCCCGATCCCAGACCCAGCCAAAGAGGAAGCCAAACGCAAGAAGAAAGAGGAGGTCTGTCCCACTTCACGAAGCATTGAGGCTGTCTAAAAAGATTATGCCACTCCAATAAAGGAAGCATGCTGATTGGAAGAAGCCAAAATACTTTAAGGCATACAAGAGATTTCTTTGTTTGAAGGCAGAAAGTGTGACCAATTATCAGTTTAATGCTTAATTAAGAGCACTTCAGGGTTTTTTAGAGGATGAATGGGAAGTAGACACCAGTTCTGTAGTAAATTAGTGTCATAGGCTTCATAATAGGTAGTCTTGGTTAAGTGTTTTAGTTTCCTAACCATCAAATTTCTCCTTGGGCGCTGCATAAAGCCAGTCAACCGGGATCCTCAGTCAAGGATTTATATTTAGTGTTTCATAATATATCTGAATTGCGTGTTACTATGGTTACAATTGCTGTGCCTAACCAAGGACTGCTTAAGAATCCAGAAGAGAGTGGGTGATATTTAAAAATCTAAATTGACCTGATATGCTCTTTTTATCTGGCATCAAAAAAGCTTCAATAATTTTTTTATTGGAATGACATTCAATATAGTTCTTACAAGTATACTGAATGTGCTGTATGCAGCATACAATGATCATTGACTTTAAGAGGAAAGCAGAAAAATCACTCGGTAAAATTACCCTTTATTATATCCCTTATGTATGCTCTCCTTTTTATTTTAGCAGCTGTCACAATTCACACTTGCATTAAGAGGAGGAAATAGCGCAGCACTGCCAGTCGCAGTAGTTTTATTTGGGGAAAACTGGCTTGAAATAATATTTGGGATTATACAGCCGCTCTGGGAACAAACCTGGCTGTTGGGGTGCGTTCAGAAGCTTTGTGCACGGAGCAGGGACTGATGGAACTAGGTTAAATTTCTTAGACAAAGAAAAAACGTTGACATCTTCATTTAGCCATGTAAAAAAAAAAGCATGTGGGAGAGCTGTCTAAGAGATGAATAGGCACTGAAAACTCTTTGACCTGCTGCCTCCTTTTCTCATGTTGCAGAAAGAGGCCAAAGAGGGGAAGAAAGACAAGGACGGCGATAAAGAGGACGAGGATTCAGGTAGGCATGAGGACGACATGTCATAAATCAGCATACTGCAGTGGATGTAGAACACTTTGCAACACTATCAGTATTAAACAGTCTGGTTTTTGTATCCCTCTTCAATTGCAGTTTTCTGTATATGAACCATTTTTTTTATAAAAGGTGAAAGTGGTAAAATAAAGAATGTCAGGATTGCGATTTTAAAAGTCTCATTTCACAAACCTCATTGCAAGAGGTAAATCATTATAAAAGGGAATTTTAAAAACATGAAATATTTATGAATACATTAGCTACAAAATAATCCCTGCAAGACATAATTGATTGGTATTTGTTTTTGTTACAAGACATTTTATATGCATGTAAATTAAAAGGAAAATATCTTAGAAAGCACACCAAGTGACGCCTTATTGAACCTGATTGATCTGGTATTGTGAATAATAAAGCAATATTTTGGGATGTTTTGTCCTCCAGGGCCTCCTTGTGGTCCCATCTGCAGCAACGAGAAGGTGGAGAGTTTCCTGCAGGAGGTGAAGCCTCAGATCCAGACTCTGAAGGAGAAGCTCAACACGGTCAGTCTCTTATTTAGTGTTTTAGCTACATTTTATACCAAGAAGAAATCATTCCAAATGTAGTGTAGCCTTTACTTCTCTAGTGCATAGCATATATAAGGGATATGCCTCTGGGTGCATGATTTCATGCCAAACACATTTATAAAGTAGTGTTGGGTTGTAATTGTTTTGGCTGCCTTAATCCCAAACTTGTATACTGCATTAAATACTAAAACTAATCAGATTTTCCTGGGCAGGTGTCAATGTGGGTGCAGCTCCAAATCCCTAAGATTGAAGATGGAAACAACTTTGGAGTGGCTGTACAGGTGGGTAAACAAGGAGGATTTGTTAGAGCACTAGAATATTTTAACTGTCTTGAAACTGCTTTACTAGTTTCTCTAGTGAAATGTGTCGACTAGGTTTTATATATGTATTTTTCCAACAGGAGAAAGTGTTCGAGCTGCTGACCAACACACGCACCAAGATCGAAGCATTCCAAACTCAGATTTCAAAGTAAGAGCCCACACATACAGTATATCACTTTTGGTTGACCTTTTTTATTTATTAAAATTATAAAGAAAAATTACAGTCACACAAATATATTGTTTTATCTGTGTGGATGTGTTAGCTTAGCATTTTAGCACTCTCCCATAACTGTCACTTTTAGCTGCAGTGGCTACTAATCCGCATGTTACAGATTTGCTTCAATCACAATTAGATATCACCATTTTTAAATGTTTGAACAATTACTGGGAACATTAAGTGATTTTAAAGATGTTTAGGCCTGTTTATGAATGTTATAAACTTCTCTTTCTGCTCTTTGTTAGATATTACAGTGAGAGAGGTGATGCTGTGGCCAAAGCCTCCAAACAAAACCACGTGGTCAGTATCTATTTTAGTCTGTTATCAGAGTGGTTTAAAAAAACATGTATTTGTGCTTCTGTGTGTCATTTGTCAAACACATTCCTGGATGAGCCATGTTCTGTGTGTTTCTGCATATAAACTCTGTGTCGTGTGCTCTCTGCTGCAGGGAGACTACAGACAGCTGGTCCATGAGCTCGATCGGTATCAGTACTCTGAGCTCCGCCTTGCAGTCCTGGACATCCGCAACACATATGTAAGACACCGTTTAATATATTTGTCAGTGTAGAGAAATCTGGAAATGGATCAGATTTGAAATTGCATTATAAAAAAAGCAACTTTTGACGTCATTACGGTCCGTGTCATCTGAATATTGTAAATCACATTTATCAACGTTAATATTCCATCTGTTGTGATCACGCTCTGCACTTTAAATATAAAACTACCCGCAATCTATAAAATATTCCAGTCTTGTCCCGGCAGCTAAATGGAATCCGTTCCTTCTTAATAGGAGGGTAATTAAACTAATTGCTGTGCTTTCGTAAAATTGATTGGTGCTCCATCCCGAATCCATTAATCAGTGTTTGTCTCCTTCCTCTGGCTATTGTCCTCCTGTGTTTGATGCTGTTAATGAACAAGGCGGTACAGGTGATGATGAAAGGAGCTGTTTGACGCGATTACAGCTCTGGATCTGATCGTCTCCCTCTCTTTTTATTACTGCCTCTGACCTTTCTGTCTCTCTCGCACGTCGTCCATCTTTCTAATATCTTCTTTCTCGCGCACCATTTCCACTGATGTCTCTCGCTGTATCTCCCTCTGCAGGCTGTGCTGTTCGACATCATTAACAAGAACTATGACAAGATTAAGAAGCCCAGAGGAGACGGAAAGGCTCTCATCTACTGAGACTGCAGCACACTCTCAGGCTTCTCTAACAAGATACAACCAGTATAGTGTGACACTCGTGTAACAATACACCCGCTCTGACAAAAATGTCTTCTTTTTCTCATTGTGCCTCCATTTTGGTTCAGATTACAAAATAAAGCAACATATTCCGATACTTTGTCTGCTCTCATGTTTGTCCGAATGGGAATTTGAATTCTGGTTTCACACAAATATTGACCTACATTTTCTTATTTTATTTAATCAGGAGAGTCCAATTGTGATCAAGAATCCATTTTTAAAGAAAGACCTGGACAAGACAGGCAGCAACATAAATACAAATATAATGGAACCAAAAACAAATATAGGGTTTAGAAAGTATGTTTTTTGTTTTACCATGTGACTTAAAAACCTTGTATTTTTTTTCTTTGCATACCTATCAATTTAAAGTCTTTTTTTTGCATCAAACTCTATGCTAAGGGTGCAGAATACAAAAAGCATGTTTTCCAATGTCACACCCATACAAGCATTCAGGACTAATGGCACAATTTCCTGTGAATGCAAAAATTATCACCAGGCCTAATAAGTAATTTGCATATTGATATGGTGCCAAGAGTTATTTGGTGTTCCATCTCTGACAACCCTAAACGGAAGCCATTTTGACTTGAGCCTGAGCTTTAAAGGTCACAGTCATGTCCCTAAAACATGATCTATTAATGCTTTTCAAACTACTGAGGCTGTTTGTGGATGTCCGTGGTGGTAAAAAGCCCCTCTCCCGGCAAAGCAGGACAGCCCCAGCTGGGTTTGAGTCTGTACCACCCCTGATAGAGGCCCCTCCATCCCAGGTAGCCCAGAGCTCCTCCTAGATGCTGGGCCGGGAACTTTGGGAAGTGTGCAAGCAAACACAGAAGCAGGAACATCCATAGAGAGAGAAGGACTACACACAGGAGGAAGATTAACCTCAAAGGGGCTCCTGGCGACATCTTTGTTTGAGCAAGGTAAGGACCAAAGACAGACATTTCCTCCACAAGCAGCAGGCAACACAAGCAGACGATGAGGACGTCCTGGGACACTTCGTAACCTCTCCACACCATTTTGGCTCTGAGGCAGGAGAGCTTTGTGCAGTCTTCATGCAGGAGCAGCTGTACCGAGGAGCCTTTCAAAGGTTCATAACAGGTTCCTGATGCGTCCTCCAGCAGGGTGAGGAGACGCTGACAGACACACAAGAGCAGCCCTACCACAACGATCCGGGAGAGGTGGCGCAGGAGGAGGGAGCGGGGGTGACGGGCTGAGATGGAGAGGAGAAGGATGAAGGAACCTGAGAAGATGCAGGTCCAGCCCCAAGTAGACTTCAAGAACTTCCTGTGAGAGAACAGAAATCCCATGAAAAGTCACTATAAATCCTCAAAATACAATACAACCATGCAGTAAAAAGTCATATATTTGTGCCTCTTCCTAATCGGATCTACTGGAGGTTTATAAGGTAGAGTATATTACATATTTAAATCCACTTAAATTTGTTGTGGTGAAGGAGCTATTGGCTTCAATTCTCAAATAACAAATAGCATTATGGTAATGTATTCACTTTTAAATATTACATTTTTTAAAATATATTAACCTTTACTGAATGGGCCTCAGGTTAGGATAATGCTAAACCATGACGTAAGAGTGGCACAGGTAAAAAGGAGCAGAATTTGTTAGCATTAGCTTATAAGCTAATGTTCATGCCAGTCTGAAAAAGGCTGTAGAAGCAAAACCCTTTGTACTGAATGAGAAAGGATGTATCCTACTGCTCGTAAATTAAACTGTCCACTTCAGGACAAAGAATGTGTGAAAACTTGTTTTAAAAGTTAACATAATTTCACACCATGAATGATAAAGATTACAGAATACATTGATTTTATTAACTATTTACATAGACAATGACTTAAAGGTGGGGTAGGTAAATTTGAGAAACCGGCTCGAGATACACTTTTTGTTATGCATACATTAAGACATATTCATGACTACCCACTTAATTTTAGTTTGTGTGAATGTGTAAAGTGTAAGTTTAGCTCTAAAATGTAACTGTCTTTCAACCAGGTGAGTTAAATGACCTTTGGGGTCATAATGAGACCCCTTCATGACAAGTTTTAAAGAAGCATGCAGATCCAACTGAAAATCTTGCGGCCACTTTATCAGTTTCCAGCAGTAGTACGTACTCCCAAATATGAGATTTCCATTTAAAAGCAGAATCACAACCGTACCTGTACAGGTAGTTGTTGCTGTTGGCGAAGATGCTGTACTTTGGCACCCAGAGGCTGAGCACAGGACCAAACAGCAGCAACGCAGACAGCATCAGGTGGAAGTGTCCTCTCACCAGCTTGCTCCCTAACATCCTGGCCAGCACGTTTGTTACAAACACCAGAGCAGCATTCAGGAGTCTCACAAGGAATTTTCCCAGCAGTATCAGCTCTGCAGCCATCTTTTGCAACTTCTCCAAGTTGATCTGTGTTGAGAAGCCATTTGAGGAGTTTTCAGTCTTTAAATCCATGTCCATTTGTCCTCCTGATGAGACCTTAAGTAGTTTTTGAATTAAAGTGTTCTCCTCTTCTTTGCTCTTTGTGTCCATTTGAGCCCCTTGGTGTAGTCTGCGTCACTTTCTTTTGTCTTTGAAAGGCACACCAGTTCTGCTCTGGGAGCCTTTCTACTTTATCACTGTCAGACGTGCAGGGGAACACATGGTTTATAAAAATACAACCCCTCTGTCCCTTTTACCCTCCAAAGCCCTCCCCCTCTCAACATAGACTCTGAGTGTGGACATGCTAATAGCTGCTGCTGTAAGTGACCCAGTTATTCTCTAAAAATGATCCAACGTTTTGTGAATTTGCTCCAATTAGAAAGACTACAACTACTTTGGAAATATTGCTGTTAAAAGAAGCATTCTGACATAAAATTGGCTCCTTCTTTGGTTCTCTTTCAGTCTCTCCATTCTTAGCATCAGCTGTCAGAGCCAACACTAATTTAAGTTGTAAACTGTTGCCAGTCTGCATTTGGCGCCATCAACAGCTGCGTTTCTCCCAGCACTTTGTCCCCCTTATTTCCAGGCCCAAAGCCTCTCCAACCCTCTCAACTCCCAGAGCCAAATTTAGTAAATGTAGTCTTTCCGTGGGATTTATGCTCAATAAAACATACAAGAACTGCTTTCACAAGCCAGGACATCCAGTCCCACTACTAATACAGGCTCTACACCCATAGCAACAGCAGTAAGAAAAGTCCATAAGTGATTTGTTACACAGATGTTAGTGTTCATGTGATTAGATACAAGGGGGAGACTTTCTTCCCATAATTCAAATGCAAGATCGCAAGTGAATTCTGATTTAAAATGAGAGGAAAAGCATTTTTGATTACTTTCCAAGTTTTCCTCAGATGTGGCCTCCTTTACCTGATAGATGATTATTTCCTTTCCTTGAAACTGTAGCCGAGAGGATAAATGATTACCACCGCTGTGTTGTGATGTATTAAGTAGGAAGTGAAAATAAAACCAGACATGTCAAAGAATCTCCGTCTAATTTTAGACCACTTAACTGCATTGCTGTCATTACAATGACCTTCAAGCGACAGCAGCTTATTGTCAGTTGTCTGTTATGCGCTTCTGACATATTCAATTTGTAGGGAAAATAAACTGTTCATGTGATCTGTGTTCAGTGTGACGAGTGTCTAAATCGCCACTTCTCCATTTAGCTCACTCCTAACTCTATATGTAATTGCAGCATTTTCTCTGAGTCTCACTTTTGCATGTTTAAAGCTTTGCCGATAGAGAACATTTGAAAACATTGACGTACTTCATTCTCACACAATTTAGTATATTAATACATTGAAAGAAAGCTTTTATTGTTACTGTAAAACAACGTTCTGAGAGTGAACTATGAACACCTGAAAATTGCATATACAGATCAGTGTGTACGTTTTGATCCAGTCCCTTCACAAAGTAATACCTATTATCACACACATTCAAATCTTTGAAACAGATCAGAGGTTTATATTGGCAAACAAAATGACTTTTTTTACACCCAGGGCTTGTTTTACAGAGTAGAGTGCTGACACATGATCAATAATAAGACTTCAGACCATCGCTGTGTTTACTAGAGGGGTTGTGTTTAAACTTGACAGTTTTAAGAGGTTTGAACATAAAATCCTTATGAAATTGAAAGTAAAACTCATGTTACGGGTTTTCCGGTCAACTTGGAATAATGGAAAACTAAATAGGATGTTGACCACTAGGAAGTTTCCCTAATTTGGGGCAATTGGTAAATAATGTGCTGGCTTAATATAATATAACCAGCCTTTAACTTGACAGCCCCTCAAATAGGACACAGCTTATGTCATTAATAACATCAACATCCTATTCAGCACACTGACAACAATCTAAACCCCCTCCCTGAATGCACATACCATTAAAATACTATACATTTATACAGAATTACCCTTGTCAGTTTCTCCCTGCATCACCCAAAATTGATTTCTATATAACTAACTTACCATTCATTTTTTCGTTGCTCATTAAGTAAGAGCCGTGCTACATGTTTGAGCACGTTTGCCGGGCCAAGTTTAGAAGCTTTGGCTTGTTGACAATGAGGCAAAAACAAAAACAGAAGCAGGTCGTCCCACTGAGTCCTAATCTGCACTTGGATGTTAGGCTTTATTGCCCTCCAGATTTACACTTTTCAACTCGTTATAATTGAAATCAATAATATCCAGCATTGAATGTAAAGGATGGTTAAGTCTCCCAGTCCTTCAGGACTTATTGTCTTCCTTCGTTAGGGTCAGCGATGCTCTTTCTGCAGTGAGGTCATTTCCTCATCTTTCCATTTGTGTGTCTCTTCTTCTTCTTCTTCTTCTTCTCTCGCCGTCTTAAAGGTTTTTGTCCGTCGTCGGACAGTCTCTCTCCCGCTCTCTCTCCTCCTCTAGCGGATGGGTCTCTCTGTGCTCCCACATTCGCACCGCTCCGTCCCACTGTGGAGAGACAAAGGTGGATGAGGACAGGGTCACTTAAACATCCTGTCTTTGCAACACTTTTCTGCAAAACTTCAAACTTCTCTTGATTTCATGGTACTACGTTAACTTGAGAAAACAATATCTGGTGTAATTCCCCTCAATAAACATTTATAATTAAAGCAATATCTCTGATCACAAGCGTTTACACATGGACTCCAGTTAGACTCACAGAGCTGCTGATGATGTTGTCCTCGTACGGGTGCCAGCTGACGTCCCTCACACACGCTTCATGGCCCGACAGTCTGGAGACCACGCTGCCCGTCAGAACGTCATAAACTGGAAAGAAGACACAAGAAAAATCAACATATTCAGTACTTGTCTGCATCATGCCCCTCTAATCGCCCCGACTGCATTGATTTCCCATGTAAAAATGACTACACAGAGATGATGCAGCGTTAGAAGGCAATCCACAACATAGGGCCAATACTGTAATGGAGACACATAATACCAGTCCTACACATTGCAGACACACATATGATCACATGGTGAGACTCACTGATGATTTTGCCAGTGGAGCAGCCAGAGTAGATGAACCTCTGCCCGGTGGTGAACTCTGGAGAGAAACGGCAGCGGACGAGGGTGTGCAGAACGCCGTGACCGCGGTACGTCATCACCGAGGTGTCGCCTGTCAGCTTGTGTCTCTTCAGGGCTGCAAGAAACACATACAAAACTAAGCAATCACAACTACATAGACATAGAGAGCTCATTTATGTCCTTAACATCTGTATTCCGGCTTAAAAAGTAGGCAGATGTTTGGTTTTTGAGGATTTTTCCTCCCTGCTGGATTTCATTACCCTAGCTCCCATCCTTCACCTCTCCTCTAGGCCCTCCCTCCTCTTTGACTTGCATTGGTTATTTTTCCATGCGTTGTTTAAATAATGTCATATCCCCTCACCCTCAAGACACATGCCCACCCACGTTCCACCTCCCTGTCATTGGCCCTGTCTCGCTCCTTTGATAACGTCACATCATGTTTATCTCCTCCCCTTTTCTCCAGACGTGACTCCTCTTGTCCTCTAACTTCACCCTCCTGACTCATTCACCATTAGTGTCTCCTTCTCTGCCTCACCTCTCTGGGGAACCTGCTGCCAGCGGTAATCCCAGTTTTGTTGCGTGACAGCCAGACGGGAAGCTGCCAGCCCCTCTTTGGGGGAAAACTTCCTGATGTCCCAGAGCTTGATGGACTGGTCCTTGGAGTTGCTGATCAGATAGCGTGCGTCTCCCTGGCAGAGCAGCAACACATGAGGAGGAGTTTTAGACAGAAAAGAAAACAAACCTCCGGGTAGATTACACTAGACTAATATTAGCTTTTCATTAATCAACTTCCAACCAATCATCGGTCAAATCCAACTACCAATGAGGCTTCGGTGGAACTTGTCATTGACAGATTGATAAAACACCAGCAGCATTCCTCCCCTCGCTCCCCCACCTTGCTGTGAATGAAGGTGATGCCGTCTCGGTGTCCGGCCAGCTGTCCGACAGGCTGCGGTCTGTCCTCCCGCAGTGTCCGTCTGTCCCACACCTTGCACAGCGCGTCGTCGCTGCCAGAGAAGAGCAGCTGGGACGAGCTGTCGGCGAACGCCACCGCATTCACGTCGTCCTCGTGGGCATCAATCTGACGAGCAGAAGAGAGAGTCAGTTTTTCTGTGCGAGCATGTGGGGAGATTGTTTGATTTTCTTTGTGAGACACAGTGTGTTATATAAATGACTGTGTGAAGGTCTGTGTGTACGTCAAAATCGTGACAGAAAAATTGATGCATACCTCCTCAAACCAGTCAGTTTATATTCATGTCTATTGGAAATTTGTTGGAGATTGTCATAATTACCATATCAATGCCTGAGTTGAGGCCCAAAAACTTGTTTTGGGAGGTCACATGTACACAGTATTTCCTGTTTGATTTATTGGCAGACACATTTTTCTGCCAGATTGAAGGACACCGGCTCAGGAAATTACATTATCAGCACACTTCTCTGCAGCAGATGAGCAGGGTGGAGCTACAAACTAGCTTTTGGAAGTGTAGCTACAGTACAATGCATGTGTTGTGTACTTCTAATTTCCTTTCTGTGGTGTTTTGACACACGCATTCGTCTAACAACGGGATGACACTCACTCTGCAATTACAGCCATAAAAGTAGTGACCTTTGGATCCATATCCAATAGGTTTAGGATACTGTTTAACCAATAATCCAACGACAATTGTTAACCCATTCTAGGTTGACTATATATGCCTTTGTATTATTTCTTTGTCCATTTTGTCCCAATGTTAGTCTGTTTGCACAATAAAAGCCTGGAATCGACCAGTGTTTTACATTTGTTCACCCATTTATGCATGGTCCTCGATAAATTATGATTTATAATAATAAATGTATTAGAAATTGGCCACAGGCAATTCATGTTATTAGGTCCAGTTTATTGTTGGTTTTGGTTTTCTTGGTAGATTTGTGAACAATACCAGACAGACCCGGCGTCATTTTGTATTAAACTATGTTGAAAGATTAGTTTAATATCATTTTTTTATTTTGCTAGGAAATTCTGAATGAAATTCTGAATGAAAGGCTGCGGGAGAGACTGGTTTTTCGCTGGGTTGAGTCGTGTGGGTTTGTGAGTGAGATGCGGCACAGCAGCCTGTCAGTTTACTCTTGCTAGGTTAGTTTGGCTATTATCATTTATATTTATCTGCAACAATGGATATCAGGAAGTGGTTCACGAAAGGAATATGGCAACTCAGCGCCAGATGCAGGCACATTAGAATAAATCAGTTACGTTACCAACGAGCTAGCAAGCCAGCCAGGGACAAGGGAGGCTGGCAATCAATTATATTTTGAAGAGAAATGGACTCAAGCCGGCTCTCTCACAAACTCCTGCTCTGTCCTGACCGCTGCACACGCTCTCTACCTCGCTCAATCTCTCTCTCTCGCTCTCTCCCTTTCTCTCCATCGCTCAACCTCACTCCACCCTGTGTGCGCTCAAGTTTGCCTGCGTGCTTGCCCAAGTTGGCACAGCGTTACAAATGTGCCACAAAACCAACCAATGGATGTATAATAAGACCGTCAAGAGCCTTATGGCAACCTAAAACCCCTCTCTTTCCGTAACAACAATTCACGAGCGCCTCCCTCCCCCCCCGTTGACAAATCCCGAGCGTCTAACAACCCCCCCCCCCCCCGTTGACAATTCAGATTTCCTGGGAAATGTACGTGTCGGGGTGGGCCCGCCCTGGTAAATCAAATGCCCGCCGGGTCTGCCACCAGATGTATTCTTGAGGTGAAAAATAGCAATAATAGGAAAAGGGGTTTAGAGATTAAGCGCAGACACACTGACGGAGAGGTAATAACAAAGACTGAATAAGAAAGAGCACAAGACAGTGGTGAAGCAGATGGTAGAGGGCAGCTACTGACTACTACACAGAGGGGAGTTGTGGGGAGAGGAGGAGGGAGGAGGGTTTAACCCCTGTCCCACTGCAGGGTGGAGCCTGACTCTCTGCTGCTGCGTTACAGACAGAGGGGCGGTGTGAAACTTTTGTGAGGGAGGTCCGCTAATGTCTGGCTCACCTTGATCGCGGGATGATGCACAAACAGACAGAGGGGACGTGACACGAAAGCCGGTACAAGCGGACCCACAAGCAAAACAAAAAAACAATTAGACGCACTAACCTTCAACGTTCGTTTATTCTGCTCAAGATCAAAAACGTAAAGGCAGCCGTCGTTCGCTCTGAAAGGAGAGGAGAGAGAAATTGAACACATTTTAATTAAGAGGTTAAATAAGAATGATCTGCTCAAGTATTCAAAAATAAGCTTCAAGGGAGTATTTCACTGGCTGCTTGAATTCACATTTCTGAAAGAGACTTCAGTCCTCGTTTCAGTCACTGCCTTGAAACATAAAAGCAAATTGTACTCACCCTCCCAGGATCTCGTTGCCATCTGTGGACGCAGCCAGTGAGAACACACAGAACCTCCTCTCATCTGGACTACAAAGCACAACACACAAGCAGGTTGACACTGCAGCAGTAGTTGCTATTGAATCACACAGCCTATTGTATGTCATCACACACCAAATAAGATAGATAAAAGGCACGCATCACCTCTTAAACAATGCTTTTGTTACGAGCGATGGGATTATAATGAAAGTGCTTTGTTGAAATAATGATCTCTTCCCTTCACAGAGTAACACACACACAGACAGAGTGAGAGGATGGATGTTGAGGTGACATGTTCTGACAGCGTCATTCATCTAGGTGCTAATGGAGGGAGAGGAGGCCGGCTGGTAGGCAGTGATAGATTACCTGCTCTGTTATGTTATAAGTTACTATGAGGAAAACACTAACTTGAGGTCCAGGGCGGTGTGGTTTTCACTGTCTCCATCTATACTGCACAAATGAACTGTGGGGCAAACAGACAGAGATAGAGATGATATTAATACAACATCATATATGAGCTTTATTTTCATTCATATTTATTTTTCTTATTATTATTTAAAGAAAAGGTTGTCAGGTACTTAGATAGTGTCACATCCCCAGTTTTTAGAGAAACTGAAAAAGAACCCAAGTGATTCTGTGTATGGGGCAGCAGCAAAATATATTTAAACACATAAAAAAGGCCAACCTAGAAAAATCTACAGTATTTATTTAATATTTGTACAGATTTACCTCGCTATCAGAGAGCCCTTTCCAATATGGAACTGAAGCCATTACTATGCTTTCTCACCAGACTCCATTGACAGAGTCATACAATAACACAAACAAGGGGCGGGACATCTCTAATTGGTTGAACAATCACAACAGAGCCAGCCAGCTAACCAATCAGAGCAGAATAGGCTCTGGTTTCAGACAGAAAATATAGAGAGCTTTTTGAACATTAAAGCATGTCACAGTAGAAGCACAACATACAAATAGAACATGAGCATTATTGGGCCCCTTTAAAATAGTTGTTTTTGTCAAAGGAGTCTGGTGCCTAAGAGATTAACGGCTTCAGTTCCCTGACGCAGGGTAACGTTGTGAATTCTCAATATACCGTACACCTTAACTGATATTGATGAAATGTTGTTCCACGGCTTTTCCTCCCTTGCTTGAACTCCTATCTTCAGTAAAATGCTAATATAGATAACATGGCTATTCGGGAATCACTAGCTGTTCTTCACTGATTAGCATTATTGACTGACTGCATAGAGTGCCACAGTGACGCGTCCTAAAACCCGGAAGCAAGCTTCTTCCGGTTCCCTTGACAAAAAAGCAATGCAATTTCTCCATAGGATTTTGGAAAATAGCTGGAAATAAGGTCTGTGGTTGACACACATTTAAGAGACGGATCACATTTTGTTCAGTCGGATAATCTCCACATGTCTACCCTACTTTTATAATTTTCGAATCATAAATCTAATCGATAGAAGAAGCTTACTTCCGGGTTTTAGGACGCGTCACTGTGGCACTCTATTATATTGTATCTTAGGGCTCCGTTAGCCTTACTGTAGTCAGACCAGCTGGAGTAGAGCACATTCTGAGAGTCAGGGGTGAAGCAGACGTCCAGCACGCTCCACCCCACATCCCGAGCCTTCACTGTCCGTCGTAGGTGAAAGCGTCCCCGGCTGGTGTCGTACAGGCGGATGTTCTGGTCTGCAGCGAGGAACAGGAAGAAATATAGTATATTATATCATTTGTGGCTGTTATCACATGACATTACTTTGGCTCTCGTCTTTATTGTTCGCTCACAAGACTTATTTTCAAATGTTTCAAATCTGGTGTCTGATAGTTATTTGCAGCAATAGCGCAATACTGGTCTGTCAACGACCATGACACTACACAAATGGCCCTGATTATTTAGTGGTCCACGTTGTTTTAAACAAACACTACGACTCATTATCAGGTCTGATTCAGTTCCTCTGGGTTCCAATGTTGGATCTCGGGATGTTTACCTTGGCAGGCAGAGAGGAACATGTTGCCATCCTCGCTGTACACTCCACAGAAGGCTTTCTGCTGGTACGTATCCTTGTGGGATACATAGTTTGGCAGAAAACTGCGAAGGGAAAAAGGTCAAAATAATTTGATTGATTCTCTGTGTGACCATCTTGTAATTTGTTAAGAGATATTGAAAAGGTGTAGAATTTAAAAAGTACTTACTGTGTTCGGATACGACTGCACTCTCCGTGGGAAAAACTGGAGCCTCTACATCTGCCTTGTTCCCTCTAAAAGAGTAGGTCAAAAAAGAAAACAACAAATTGGTCAACATTAAGTGTTTCAAACTGTACTGACAGAACAAGTGACCTAAATCATCTTTGATATTGGTAAACTTGGTAAAAATGTATTTACAAATATGTGGAGGAAACTGATAAATACTAATAATCTTTGTTACATCATGAGTGCTGAAAATGGGCCAATTGGATTCGACTTTATTGCTGCTTTTGTTTGTATCTCTGCACTCTGACCTCTGTTAGCATGTGGGTGAAACTGTGTCGGTTTTTCAGCATAGAGGAGCCGGTGGCCAGCAGGATCTGAGTTCGGATCTCACTCTGGTCCACTTCATGCGTGTCTGGTTGGGTGTCCACTGGTTGAAAACAAGACTTGGTATTACTTTCTATCCGACATCAAACTTTCACAATTTGTTACAAAAGATAAATTCTGATTCAAAATTGTGGCTACATATTTATGAGAACAAGTTGCTGCACTTTCCTACAACTGCCACATTGGAATATTTGACAAATGATACACAAACAACTAAATTATACTGTTTTTTTATCCAAACATTTTACAGCTAAACAATGAATTTAAAGGTCCCATGTCATGCTTTTCCGGTTATTACCTGTCCCCTTGTGTGTTATGAAGGTTTGTATGCATGTAAACGGTCTGCAAAGTCACAAACCCTTAAAGTACACCCTGTAGCGAGTACAACTCTAACACAGAAAAGACCTGTCTATGCTGCCCCAGAACGCCTCGTTGGAGATTTCTCTTTTTCTTCCTGGGTACAGTGACGTGCCCATACCCAAATGGACCAATCCGTGGAGCTCCTCACACACACACACTCTCTCTGCGGCGAAACTGTAACGCGCTGGGGGGGGGGAGGGGAAACTGTGGCGTGCTTACACTGTAGGTGCACCGCGTTTGGGGGTGCGGGTGCTAGTGGAGCCTTGCAGATGGGGGTGCTGCAGCCCCCTCAGTATCCCCTCCTTCCTGCGTCCATTCGCGATGTCACGCAGCAAGCAGGAAATGAACCCAGCTCACACTGTCCGCTCCTCGCAGCAGCGAGCAACGTCCCGCCAACACGGCACCCAGACCCCACGCAGCATTCTCATCTGTTTGTCATTACTGGTGTCATTTTCTGGTTGCTAACAAACGCCATTGTAACACATAATCACTGATGTTCAGCTGTAACGGTGGTGATCTCATCAGAACAGAGTGGGCGAGCTGACCAATCAGAGCACAGTGGGCTCATAGGGAGGGGGGGCCAGGAGCTCCAACAAGCCGTTTAGGACAGAGAGTGAATACACATACTATACAGAGATGCTGTATGAGAAACCAATGTGAGTTTGGAAAATTGCACAGTATAAATCTATTCTAGTAGACCTCAACAATGGAATTATGATCAGTAGAAATGGCCATGACATGGGACCTTTAACATTAAAGACTTGGGAAAAAAAGTATTTGCTGTAAGTAATTAATTAATAACTGACAACCTTTCAAAACACAGTAAAAAACAGTTCATACAACTTACTTTGTTTCCTTTAAATAACATTTACTTTGGGTATTACTTAATACAAACAATAGCATTACTGTTAATTGCTTTTCGTCTTAAATTGAAGGATTCAACGCATTGATATGTATTCATCATGCTTCTGTTACTGGGTATTGGGTGGATTCCAACCAGTGGCGTAGCCACCATAGGGCCAGGGCGGGCCTGTTACTCATTGGCTTGCTCTGAGAAAGCTTCGGTGTAATTTTTATTTAATTTTCTTATTATTATACATTTTTTTATTCACCCATTGAGAATATCCAAGCATTCAAAGTGGAATTTAAGTGAACAAATATCGAGTAGAATTAATGTTGTATGTGTTTTATCCTCTGAACGGAACTCATTTCCGGTAAAAACTGGTTGTTGGTTCCGGCGCGCGCCCAATTAGTAACGTGAGAGAGCTGCCTGCAAATGATGCTCTCATCTAGCAGCGATCCAGGGCCAGGCTCTCCGACTCCGGAGACTATACTGTTACGGCTGCTTGCTCCACGGCGCTAGCAGTGCTCCCTCCCGCTCCCGGTCGTCAGCATGAAGCAGGTGTAGGCCTACCCGCTGATCTGTCTGCACTTGATGAACCGCCTTCACAGCCAAAACTGAAGAAGTTCCCCTATACTGTTAATCATGGAAAAGCAAGGTGCTTCTCACCGAGGTGGTATGAAGATTTTCCCTGGGTGGAATACAGCGCAAGTAGGGACGCGCTTTTCTGTAAAATGTGCAGACATTTCCCCAGCCCAGGAGCTGAAGGTGCATTCACGAGGGATGGATATGTAGACTGGAAGCACCTGCGTAACTCGTTGGAGAGACATAAAAAAAGCGAGGACCACTGCAAGTCCATGAGCAGGTTTGAATGCTACAACCTATTGTTGCTGTTACCTAGTGCAATACAAGAGTTACCTAACGATTGTAAATAACCCAATTTGTGTTCTGTGAAACTGAAAAGGATATTACATTGTTTTTGTTGCTTTCGTTGCAGTTGTATGTCTTAAATGTAATTTAGGTTCACTTCCTGTTTTATTTAGATGCCTTATTTATTTTGAAGGCGAGTTTACGCAAGGAAGTTGTTGTTGCTATGGAAACAACGTGACGGAGAAAAGGAGCGGAGATTAACGGAGAAAAGTAATATCTACATATAAAGACGGAGAAAGTAAAGGATAACGTTTATGTTTAAGTTTAGAACCCCCCGAAGAGGCACAAGGTTGGTATTTACTGTAATATAAAAATGTGGGTTGTGTCCTAATTCGTTTGGCTATGCTGTTTTGTAGCTTTGCTGTCTGTTTACAGTTAACATTTGGTAGTATGCTAAAGTGATTCTAATACGGATGGAGCCTAAATGTATTTGTTATTTTTGTGTCTTTATAGCTCTTATGTTGATATTGGAGATTTCAATGAATTAATATCATCAGTCAAGTCTTCGACCATTATTCGGAGGGAAATGCTACAACGATGCTTGGCAATGGGCCAGGCCTACCTTAAAGTCATTTTTCCCCCTGGAAAAAGCTGGCCCACCCTATTTTATACATGCCCGCCGTAAAGTACATTTCTGCCTACGCTACTGATTCCAACCAAACAGAAGACAAACAGAAGTGCAGTGTCCCAAAACACAGCTAATTAAAACAGGAAGTAGATATGTGTGTTTTAACAGAATGTCAGAGAGAAAGCAAGATATAATTTATCGCTCTACCTTTATACCTTTACAGTGAACAGTGTCAGTGGGAGGTTACCTGGGGGGTTGTAGCGGTCGCCCAGCCGCCCTTCCCAGGCTCCATCGCTGTCCTCGTCAGAGTCAGAGTAAGACTGGACCAGCTGCAGGCCTGTGGCCCCGCTGCCGTGGACCAGTCGGACCTGGCCCCTGCACACACATAAACACATTCAATCCAAATTAGATACACAATGGAAAGAATATAACCCTCCTCCACAGGAAATAGTGTGCATGTAAAATAATTTCAAGGAAAATCGGAGAACATTGGAACAGAGTGTTGAATTTACTCATACTTAAATGTTCATTCAGACAACAGATTGGTCCAGCAGCAGCCCAATGGGGAGACAAGCTAGCAGAAGTGCCATTGTGTTGTGGGTAAAGATTTAGTCTTGTAATATTTTTTTCACTCCAATGTAACACATGGAGAATCAAAGGACCTGCTGCTGTTAAGGATCAGTGCTTAAATGTGTGGTGGTTCACAGGAGGAATATTCAAACATTTCCCAGCCACTTAAACGGCTTTAAAAATCAAACATGTATAAGGATCGGAAATTCCCCAATTCCCCCAACACTTCTTAGCTTTAGTGATGCGATGTAATGAGCGGTTTACAATATTTGCTCCCTTGACAGACATTTAGGATGGTCTGTAGATTTAACAGGATTTCAAGGGATGAGTTGGTACATGTTTTAAGTATTCACTCACGCTACCTTTACGAGACGCCAGAAAATATTAAATACCATTTTTTACTGATTGAACGCTTTTGTTAAAAACGAATAGAGACAAACAACAAACTGGGCACAGAGGTGCAAAGTACACATGTTATTGACTGTTTTACTATTAAGGCCACTACAACATCCTCTCTCTTCACCTTCTCAGTAGGTAAGCCAGCACTTCAGCTAAGTCAACGTCCTCCTCTGAAGCTGCCGGTCGGTCTCCTTGCTGCCTGTCGGCCGTCCTGCGGCCCCGGCTACTGCTGCTGCTGCTGCTGCTGCTGCTCTGGTTCGGTTCTGCTGCGTCTGACTGCTCAGCTGGGTTGCCACTGGAAGAGCCCCTTCCTCCAGACATCCCAGAACTGGACTGAGAGCCCATAGACTGAAGAGGGCCTGGCAGGGAGAATTATTTGGAAATTAAATAACAGTTTTAGATTTACCTGGGGAAGCCATGTACGCAAATAACAGTGTAATAATGTGTAATAATTCGAAATGATGGCTAGCAGTTTAAATCAAGTCTCTAAATAATTCCCTTTTTTCCCCGTATACATAAGTGCTTTTACTCATGTGCTGTACTTTATTTACAGATATTTGTACTTTATTTCATCCTGCTTTATACCTCTACTTCACTAAATTTCAGATGGAAATGTTTGACCTATTACTCTACTACATTAATTTAATAACTTTAAAAGTGACTTTTTTCAGATTTTCTTTGACGACAAATTATACATCAATTAATAAATAATTATGTATTTATTTTTGCAAACTACACAGCAGTATTTAAAAATGTCACCTTCAACCAGCTTCAATATTAAGTAATTACAAATGAATGCATCAATAATTATATTTAAAAAAAACATCATTATATGATTCTGAAATGGGACATTCAGTGCATCAAAACAACCTTTACTTTTGCTACTAGAAGTATATTTGGATGCTAATACTTTTTCAATGTATTCATTGTTCTTAATATATACTATTGATATTATAACTAAAGTCAGAGATCTGAATACTTGTTCTACCAGTCTTTATCTTATTCACCAAGTACCTCAGGTCGTATAACGATAAAGGAAAAGAGAAACCAGAAGTTAGGTAAAAATGGCTGAACAAGACAGCTTTGTTTTAGCTAAACTGTCATCATCAATTCCAGTTATTTGTTCAAGCCATTGTACTACCACATCTTCTAATACTCAAACTCCATGTCCTGAAAACAAATCGACCAGCATCAGTGTACAGTACGCTAGCTCTAATGATTGAGGTGCAGAGGTTGGTGTTGCAGAGCTAGCTCAGATGCTAACGGTACCGTTTGACTGTCAGACGCTCTTCTTGACAGCTCGTCGGCCAGACTCTTTGTCGTCTCGGTGCGAACTTAACAATAAAGCCAACGCGTGACTCCCGCAAGGTCTAATATATGACGTTTATCACACACAATGGCTGACGTTTGGCAGCACAGTGTTTAGTCAGTAAGCTAGCAGGGCCAGTCCGTGAATCGCCATGTTGTTTACAAAAGTGTGAAAAAACCCTGCGCGTGCCCCTGCCCTTCTCTGTCACGTGATCAGCCGCGCCAGATGTACTGATAACAAGTTAACTGAAAGTCAATGGGACACTTCGCATAGTTCAAAACAAAGCAGTGTTGAGGTTTGAAAACTGCTTCACAAAACTAACAATTAAAACAAATATACAGAGTAACTATAAAGTGTAAATGTAAGGCAGAAACCAGAAACAAAAATAAGATTTTAGGATTTACAGCTTTAGCATAATAACATGTTCAAATCATGGTTCAAATGTTCAAATATGCCTCTGAGCATTTCAAAGATGACTTGATTTTGGTAGATGTCTGTGTGTTCTCTTTATGGATCACTTACAAAATAAATAAGAAATAAAGGATATAGTCAAAATTCCTGAACAGATTAAAAGATGTCACAATTTAGAGGCAATCTCTGGGGTTGAATTTGCTGCACATTTGTTGTTTAAGGCATGTGTTCATAATCTCATAATCCATACATGTTTGACATTTGCCTCTATTATCTAGCCAGGCTGGATCACCTGGTCCCAAGCCACAGATTCACTGTCTTGTTGTTTGTTCAACTAAAGAATAATAAAAACTGAAGCGTGTGGCGCAGTGGATAAAAGGTGTTGGGATCAGGCTCAAACCCCACTGCAGTCAGCATGTCGTTGTGTCCCTGGGCAAGACACTTCACCCCAAAATTGCTCCTGTGGGGATTGTCCACAGTATTGAGTATGTAAGTCGCTTTGGATAAAAGCATCTAACAAGTAACATGTAATGAAATGTGAAGCTTGTCATGTCACGCCCTGCATCAATACCTAAATAAATAGTCAATCAAAAACATTCAATGTCGCAACAAGCTGTTCAATTGAGAAGCAATTTGCTGCATTAGTAATAGTTTGGGATGTAAATCTGCAGGTATCTCACAGAATGTGAATCCAATCATGGTTCAATATGTAATCTGCATATTCACACAAGGGTCAATGTAGACATTTTTAGGGGTATTTAGGTTAAAGCAGTTCAAGGTGGAGATTTGGTGGTGTGGCCTGTTTTTAGAAATCTCCCCTAATATGTAAGACTGTGCTGTTCTGGGGTGCAAATAAGAACCAGGAGCCTCAAGTCATTATTTGCCAAAACCCCTCAGCTGAAGCAGAGATGCTCATTTTAGTTACGATTGTTTCCATTAAACATTTATGTTAATTATTTGTACATAATTCATCCAGTAAAAAAGTTCTACATTAATGTAGCACTGTATTGCTATCAAAGTAAGACATGCTGTGTCTGTGCAGTCTGTTGTGCCAAAAACAAAGCTGATATAAAGGTGGGTTGAACATGTAAACATAGGCTTAAAGATTACCTTTAGGCAGTCTCAAAAGGTTGAACATATCATCAATATTCATTCATGCTTTATGCAACACTTGTAATTACTGTGTTTCATGCACAATTTAAAGTAGAATATTGTTTTGTGTTATCTTGTATGAAAGATGCAGCTGAATTAAGTTTGAAAAGAAAGGCAGATGTGCCAGTGTAAGTCAATGTTTGTGCATGAAGTTGGCCTCCAGCTGCCCGAATGCAGACTGATACACAGGAGAAGCGTTGGTGTGTTTCTCTCAAATGACTGATGATTGCTCTCAGAGTGAAATTGCCTATCACATTACCCTTCATTGTTTACAATTTGTTATTGTGTGTGCGTCACAGGTGTCCCAGAGAAAGGTCCCAAAACCAGGTGTTGGTACAGTAGAGACATCATCAACAGAGCAATCCAGCAGAGGGCTGATTTCAAGCTCTCAGAGACCCCCTCCATCACCTCCGACTGATTGGTCACAGCCTGAAATTGAAGACGACGATCAATGCGTGACAGTGGTAACCCATCTTTTGTCTCTCTCTCTCTTATGGAGGAATCAGTGTTGTTGTTGCAGTACTGCAGAAATGGATGATTGTGCGGATTTGAATGAAGTCCTAGATGAAAACACAGCAGTAGACTCCTGCAGCGTCTGCATACTAATTACAATGAGATCTATTTTGCTTAAAATGAACATGCTGCCTTTTGCTCTTGTAGTAGCTACTTTAACTTATCACATCATAATGAAAAAACACACTATGATTTAATACACAAGTCAAATGTTCTTTTAAAACGTAAAGCTAAAACATAGGCCAATTGATTGATTATAATGCAAATTATAGAAACATCAACATAAATGTTACATATTTATAGAATCTAGTGCCGAGTGGAGCTGCAGAAAAATGAATCACACAGGAGGTTTGATGATGTAAGACCAGGGGAAGATATATTTCCACCTCTCAATCATCTCTCTATAGACAAGAATAATCCAGCTGCTGAAGTCAGCTTAAAAAATAGCCATTTCTGCCCTATCACCTTCTTCAGGGAGTGTCATAAATGTCTGAACATCTGTTATTTAATACAACACAGTACAAAACAATCATTGTTAAAGGCAGTGAACAGTATTGCACCCCACATGTATTTGCAGTATTCACACTTCCTCTCACACTCTCCATATTACAGCCAGACAAAAATACAACTGTTGCATGTAGGACACAACCATTAAGCAACCTGCAAGTGTACATTTCAAGGGCCTATTGTTTTCTAAAATTCCTAATGCAGGATGGGGGATTGAGGTCTTTACAGTAAGTGAATATACTAAGTCTGGACAATTCATAGATAAAATGTAAAAGGCTCAGTTATACAGATATGACTATGTACATCTTAAAAACCATTCAACCATTTGTGTTACATATATGTCCTACAAAATATGTTCACTCAGTAGTCTTGCAAAGTGTTCTGCGTGATTTCTCCTAAGGTAAGCATGCATTTTTCCTTCAACACGCTTATCTCCAGTCAGACCTGTAAAAAGGAAGAACATAGAGATTAGCAACATATGTCGTATTACAGGTATATAATGATTCTGAATGACTTAAGGATTGGGCAGTTTGACAGGTTTGAGCTCACCCAGCTTTCCAGCCGTTCTCTCAATCTTCTCCAGGGCCGACTGCACATCTCCTCCCTCTGGAAGTAGGACCTCTATCTCCCCCACATGGAAGCCAAAGTCAGCTTCATCAAGATCTACCTGCACCCCTTCCTCCTCTAAAGTGAACGACCTCCTCACTGTTGTAAACTCTGCAAAGCACACAAGATTATTTCTGCTCATCCAAGACTCCTCCTCTTGCGAGGGGCTCGTCTCCGTATCACTGTCCTCACAAACGTCTTTTATGACCTCTTTAACTCTCAGTTGAATTTCAGGCAGATTTGTTATCTCCTTGTAGCGGGAACACATTGCTGCTGCTTTAGATTGTTCTCCAGACGTCTCTTCTGCCTTGTCCGCTGTTGTTGGGCACTTCAGCTCCCAGCACCCTTTACGTTTACGCAGCCACATGTCTTTCAAAGTAAGGTCAAACTTTGGGGTGTCAAAGTACTGGTCACAAAACTGCCGTTGACCAAGACACACTGCTGATTAAAAAAGAGGAAGGGAAATAGATTATTGAAAAAATGTATAAATAAATATAAAAAACTAACGAGGCTGATTCTGATTATTTAAACGTCATTATTAGCAAGAGACAGATGGCCAGTGTCACTGCAGTTACAGTGCAATCCACAGCAATTAGTATCATTAAATTCCTTCAGTGAACATTTAAAAATGGATGTGGATCAAAGCATCATTTAAATGCCTCAGTTCATAATTTGCACATGAGTAATGTTGTAGTAGACAAATTAAACACATACCCCCGATCTCTTTCAGGGTTTTCAGAGTGTCGGCATTGCACACAAATTTTCTCTCCACTTCAACACTCATCTGAAATAACAGAACAAGATCAACACCAACAATACTGTATGGTCACAAATACAACTGAAGATATGATAATTATCTGTATGGTAAGAATACTTAGAGGCAGGTGTAAGTTTTATATGAGAATTATAAGATTATATATAATGAGAAATGTGCTCTATACATACAAAATAAAAAAAATAATGTATCAATATAAATAAACTCCCAGAAATTAAATAATCTAAATAATTCTAAATGTTGTTCCATTTAACTTGTTAGTGTAAAATGAGTTTAACAAAGGTATGCACGACTAATCAGAGATGGAAAAAGTACTCAGATCTTGAGTAAAATTAGAAGTACCAGAGTGTAGGAATACTCTGTTACAAGTAAAAGTCCTGCATTCAAAATGTTACTTGAGTAAGAGTACAAAAGTATTAGCATCAAAGTATATTTAAAGTACTTCAAGTAAAAGTGCTCATTGTGCAGATTGGCCCATTCCACAATAATATATGATATGTTTTATAATGATTGATCATTAAAGTGTTCTCAAAGCTGGTAAAGGTGCAGCTAGTTTTAATGACTTTGTATACTGCAGGGTAGCTTGTGAATTTACTCCAGGTGTAACTAAAGTCTGATTTAAGAGTTGATTATATTTCACATCATTCATCAAAATCTGCAAAGTAATTAAATAAATGTAGTGGAGTAAAAGTACACAATGTACCTCTGACATGCAGTGGAATAGAAGTACAAAGTAGGCTAGCATAACATGGATATTTACTTGAGTATTTTTTTAATATTCAAGTAAAGTACAAGTATCTCACAATTGTACTCAAGTATAGTACTTGAGTAAATCTATAGTTACTTAACACCACTGCGAGCAATAAACACAACAACAATGTTATACACTCCTTCTGTAACATAACCTTGGTTGCTCTTGCGTTTTGCAAAATACATTATGTTTAGTATACTTTCATTTTAAAGCTCTAATGCAAACTGTCTGTAAATGCTCCAAACTAAACTGTTATTGTTGTAACAACTGTGTTATTTAGTAATGTCGCAGCAGAGCTCAAGCAGCCACACCTGTCATCATGCACAGGCTCGAAGCTGCTGCAGGCTCATAAGTAGATCAAGTAAAATCACCAAAGTGAACTACAGAGCAGCAAAAACCACCATGAGAGTAGAAAACAGTACACTCACACACCTTCACAAGTCAAGTCCTAATGTGCATATAATTCGGCTCCAAAAAACCAGCGAGACAATCAATCAGCAGCGCAAACACGTCAGCGCAGTTTATTTTGCACAGGCGTAATTGGAGACACCTTTCAGGGTATTCAGGAACATCACTTCCTGTCCCAGTAACGCAGGGGCATACAGATGGTGCAGTTTTAATCCCCTCTGCTTCATAAATATTTATTCCACATACTCGACTGATTATGTGCGCCACACCTATCATTTCATTGAGTTGAAAACAAGTGGTAAACCGCGCTCATAGTGCTGCGTAGTGGCTCTGCAGTCACACCTCCATTATTCAGCCTTAATTAACTCGTCACACTTTTTGTGACAATCCAATTTGGCAGAATGGGGACTCATTTTTTATTCACCTTTTAATGTAAAAAAGAGGGAAGATTCAGTGTAATCTAGGCATCGACACACTTTTTGGGAAAAAAATATATCATGCATTTTTTCATGCCTTCTCTTTATTGCTAAATTATTAATTCAGGATTCATTAATACTCTCTAATATCTGCGGGGTTACATAAGGGATTTGATAGCTGTCCCCTTCTGAATGTCAGCAATCAGCCTTGGGGGGAGCTGTGGTCTGTTTACTATAGGGAAGAGGGGAAGGAGAGAGGGATAGGGCGAATGAAGGGAGGGGGAGAACAGGAGAGAGAGAGAGAGAGAGAGAGAGAAAGAGAGAGAGGGAGGGAGAGAGAGAGAGAGGGAGGGCAGGCAAGAAAACTTTTCAGTTCTGAGGAGCCACGGAGGAAGCGTGTGTGTGTGTGCGTGCTGGAGCGGCGACCATGCAGGTAAAAACGCATTAGCTAATTGCTCTGAACTTAATTAAACGTCTTTCGCGATCGGTTAATTGTGCTGATTTGAACGGGGAGAGTGGCCTGCGACTGATAGAGGATCGAGCAAACGACGGATCGTGCCCCATACTAATCCGATCCCATATAGAATCCAACATTAAATCCAAACTTTTTTCTGCCTCCCGTCTCTCTCTTCGCCTCCCTACACTACCCCCATCGTCGAGGCGACCGCGGCGCACGTAATCCGCTTCAAGTAGCTTTTCAGCGTTTAATTCGTTCGCCAATTACGGCTCGAATCTGTTAAAATTATAGTTTAAATGGCCATGTGTTGCACCGTAAGTATTTATGGTATGAATTTGAGCGCTAGGACGCGTCAAAAGGGGGTCTGCTGGGCGGCGAGGGAGGAGGGGGAGCGAGTGTTTTCTAACACATCTGTAAACGGAGCCCACGTTCATTAATTAAATGGCTTTAGTCCGACTAGGCCTCAATTTGCGCTGTTGAGCAGCAGGCGGCGGGCGGAGTAACACTACATACCCGACTGTCAGCCCACAATCAGAGGGGTAAGGAAATAACTCGAGGCCGAGGTTTTTGATCAGCGCTAGTGAGAGTATTTTGTATCCTGGGTGAACTCGGTGTATCGGAGCTGCAGTTCCCACCTGGACCAGGCAGAGTTTGCGGAGAGCAGCCAGTTGGAGACAGTTTGAGGAGCGGTTAATTATCTCTGCTAACAGGCTAGCTAGCAAAGTGACACGACTGTTATTAGCTGTTTAGCTGTTTATTAATGTAATGACCGTCTGGGCTCAAACGAGAGCGACATTATGCATGCGACGGTACTGTGTTTTGCAGTTTCTGAGAAGTGTCTGGCTATCACTGCGGTGTTATTTTCAGTAAACTAACAGCTAACCAGCATTTGTAGAAACACGACTGTAATGCGACGTTACAGGGGGGCTTCTAAACCTCACGTTAGCTTGCTAGCTAATTGATTCATCGCTGTTCGGCATAGCTAATTAGACTGCTCATTAATTGGCCAACTATGAGCAGAGATATGTCAAACTGGTTATTATATCTTGGCTTTCAAATCTGAAACTCGACTTGAGGAGCTTTTAGACACGATATAAACCGCAGATATAGACTTTTCGAAACATTATCTGCTCATATTACCCTGCTAGCTTGCTAATTGGCATGACGAGGAAGTGAGCTTTGTAGCTGTGTTGGTATTTCTGCTCATGGGCGAGGATTGCTGTCTTGGTTGCATCTTGGATCATGAAAGCTTGCAGAAAAATACATCAAAGCTGCGTGGTGAAATCCAGACCAGTGGTCTATTTTGACTTCCTTATAACTGCGTGGGAGGGAGTAACAGTTATTTGATTACGCACGTCGAGCTTCAGATCATATTTAATATATTGGCCACGTTACTTGTTCAAAACTGGGGGGAAATAAGTGTTTCCACGGACTGTGTACTCGTAGTTGTCAAGCAGTGCATGTTATGATCTGGATTGAGCGTTACTCCAAATGTCCTGTAAATGTGATGCATTAGTTTGCTGAATGTGAGATTGATTTCAAAGCCTTATTAATCAGTCTAGTATTTAGAATTCTCAAAGGTGCAATGTAAACCCTTCTGAAAGCATTAGGTGGGTACTAATTTACATGACAAAGATGTCATTTAAACGATTGCATTATTGTGTAATTTGACACGGTCATTGAAGACTAAGTGTTGGGAACCTCCCTAAACAACAAAGTTAATGTTGAATGAAACTTCAAAGACCTTTTTACTAATGAAATACTGATTTAGGAATAGTTTTACTGGTAAAAGGGACACGGCATACCTATTGAAGGCTATGGTAAATTGCCTCAGATTGTTGGTTCCAATAGTTAAAACGCTTGTTACATTATATATATTTATCACAATGGTTTGCCTTTATCTTTTTGGGATGCTACTCTTTTTCTGATCTTGTTTTCTTCTTCTTTTTTTTTATTCTTCAATTGTGATGAATAATAAGAACAGACTCAGAAAGTGTAGCATTCCTTAACATCATCTTTGTACTTCCTTTCTTGTCAGGAGGAGTCTGGAGAGACATTTAGCACTGAAAGCAATGGAGTGGCTGAGTGGCTGTGCCCCCTGTGCCAAAAAGGGCAACCCAACAGATCCTGCCTGTCTCTACATCTCACTGAGCAACACAGCGTACTTCCATCTTGTGTCGACAATCTGCTGGACATTGTAAGTATGCCCGGGCAGCCTAGTCTCCTTCCTAATTACTTTGGGTTGTACATAAAATAAATGCGTAATGTTTAATGAGCGCACTTGTTGCTGTCTGATATACAGGGGTTGGACCAAATATCACATGCATTGCAATGCTGTAGCTCTGCAGTAAATAGAAATGATGTGATAAGGAAAACTGCATTAGCAAAGACGAACAGTGGTCACAGATTGTCAACGACCTTTAAACTAACTTTTATAAAACATATGAGCTTTACCAAATAAGTACTCACTGCTGATGTACTGTATGTTAATTTGTTTCTGTTACTTTGTCCTCCCTATGTTGTATATTTTATGTTGGATACAAAACGATCCCTCAGACATACGGATAACCTTATTTGTCCCCTTGTTTGAGAGACACAAGTAAGATTGGTTACATAAAGGCTATGCATTTGACATTTTTATTTAACAAAAATGTTTATCCTAGGACGTTACCATATTTACATAGTTTAGTGCACATTAATATTCACATCTTAGTGTTTTGTTAAAGCTGTAATTTGAACAAAATAGTCATAAATGGTCTTTTACATTTTTAATTAAACTTTCCTCAGCCCAACAATTTTATATTTACTTTTTATATATATATATTTTTTCATACAATCAGGAAAGTTTTTCAATTAATAATCTTGTCAGAAATAGTGAAAAATGTCCCTCACAGTTATTCAAAGATGATGTCTTTTAAATGTTTTGTCAATCCTAAACTATAATGTAAATGTACTTTAAGTATTAATGGATTATCCAAATAGTGGCTAAAGAAAGAATCTTCTGTCCATTGACTACCGATTAGTTACCTAATCATTACTTCTCTATTAATTAGTGTGAATGGGGACTGGGTTGTTTCTGTTAATCACTTATTTATGCAGATTGACAGGACACGTTTCCCTCCAAAAAGTCAAAGTTATTTTGATTGTTTCATTGTTTGAATGAGTGTTAAAACTATTGGTTGAGTAGAGATCAAATTATCACTGCAATTAACACACTATTTGCGATGGGTGGAGGACAATTTGGCACGTTAAATGTAAAGAAATAGAAGGAATGTCATTGGTGGATGAAATGATCAAAGACCTCTTAATTTATGCCTTTAGGGTAATTTATAAATTAAAGAGTTGCCAATCTTGCTATGTGTAATATAACCGCACATCAATGAGTCCCGCCCAAATGTTGTGCTGCTCAAAAGCCACACAGCATTTAGCTCATCTGAAAGGAACCGTTAGTTAGGTTTGCTATGGGAATTTTGCTGACACTCCCTTTCATTTTCTTCCAACAGGCTGTTATAAAACAGGGTTCCAGTAGAGGAGAAGGAAACAAAAGTGATCTTAAGTCTTCAGGTGAGTGTGAAAAATACTTTGAAATCATGGCATCATTGAGCACTGTAGTAACACACATGCATGGTTTTCTTTATGTTCTTATAATAACACTGTAATTACCAACCTTTTTTTAATCCAGCTAAACCCTAATTACTCTCACTGGATTTCTATAATATAGATATGTGTGGCTCTTTAATTGGGTTGTGACAATTCAAAAGTATATAAATAAAAGCCAAGGACAAGCATTGACAATGAAAACTTGCAGATAATGTGGGTTAAAAGGTTGATGAGCCGGATAACTTGTATTCTGTCCTGTATTTTTGTTTGTTCTGTTAGACCTCAGCTTACTAGAACATACAAATGAAACATGTGTTTTTATTTTCATCAGGTGCTGAATCTTCCCAACTGAAGCACGCTGAAGTCAGCGCAGATCCCTGCCAATCTAGTGAGAGTTCAGACGCCACCCAGACGCCCGGAGACAAAGAGATGGAGGAAGGGAGAATAACGGAACCGGAGGGAGGCGACGCTGAGTCAGTGCCAGAAGAGGAGGGAAATCAACTCCCAGGAGCCAAACAGCAAAATACAACTGAAAACACAGAAATCCCAGACACTAGGGACAATTCAGTTAAAAATGGTGTGCAAGCTGAAAATAACACCCAGTCATTCAAATGCAATGCCTGTCAGGAAACTTTTCCCGGCAAAACTGCCTTGAAAGTTCATTACAACTCTGCATCCCACATTCAGAGGATGACAAAAGGCCCTGCAAAACAAGGTGGGGACCTCGATCCCCCGGCTTCCTCGTTTCCTTTCCTTTCTCGGCCATATGTATTATACAAACCCTACCAGTGTGCTACATGTCACGTCTCTTACAATCATGCCATCACCCTTGAGAGCCATATGAAATCTGTCTTGCACCAGACCCGTAGCAGAAATGCAAAAAGCGCAGTTGCCACTGCTAGTTTGGGAGGAACCACCACCGGTGTTTTAAACACTGTAGTGACCACATCTGGAAGTGGAACCAGTCAGTTAGTTACCACCACCAACTGTGCTGCTCCTGGGACCTTAATGGTGACTACTACAAAAGAGGGAGAGCAGCTTCAAGCGTCTCAAGTAGCTCCCTCCCTCCTCAGCTCCCCTGTGGCCTCAGCTCAGGCAGTCTCAGCCTTTCTCACCCTCCTCACATCTAGCCCCAACAACCTCCCGCACTCTCTCCTCCCCTCCCTGTTTGCAGCTGGTGCTGTTCCTGGTGCCGCCGTGCCTCAGCTCGTGCCTCAGCCTCAAATGGTCCTGCCCTTGATCTTGAATGGGCTCCAAGCCCAAACCCAGCAGCACCAAGAGAACCAGCAAGGCCAGCTCCTAACCCAGTGTCTGCCATTTGTAGGTCTGAGCATAGCACAGCAGGCTCTCCTAACTCAAAGACTTAACAGCTTACAAAACCTGTGGCCCTCTGCAGGAGTTCAAACAAACATGCAGCCCTGCCTGGAAGAGCAAAAACAGACTATAAAGTGTGAGAAAGAACAAGAAGAGCTGGACAGTGATGCGACAGTTGAAGAGAATGGCTCGGATCAGATCAAGGACAGCAATAGCCTGATTACAGAGGACCGTAACAAATCTGCACAGTGTCCCAATATAGAAGTCAAAGTGAAGGTTGATAATAAGGAAGACAATGGAAAGGCACATAGAGATAGCACAACAGATGGAGACAGCTCGACTAATCAGTTGGACCTGGAAGGTGATAAAGACGCTAGCCTGAATCTCTCCCCAGTGGGCACAGACAAGAGCCTCCGCAATAAGAATCTCTCGCCTTCTGCATCTGTGGCCAGCAACTCAAGCCTAAGTCCTTTAAATTTAAATCTTACACTTAGCCCTGATTCTACCCCTCAAAAATCACAATCTGGCACTAGCCCTTGTGGCTCTCTTGGCACCCCAAAATCCAGCCCAAACACAATTGCCTTAACGAAGAACCGAACTCGAGGCCATTGTAATGAAATGAGATTCATTTATGCAGACCTTCCAGTGCTGTCAGAGTTCCAGTCGGAGGTTCTCTGGGCGTTTTTTGAGTCACGCAGTGAGGCTGATGCTGCAAGTCCTCCCCGTGAGGACTGTGAGGCGCTGGGCAGAGAAGTAGGGCTTTCTGAGGAAGACGTACGTAGGTGGTTGAGCCAAGCCAGACATCTAAAACAAAGGCAGAGGGCCACAGGCTTACAACACCTGCAACGCTTGGCAGGATTTACAAGGCATTCCCAAAGTTCAGACAATGACTATGATGACGAGGAGAGCTCACTGGTAATAGCAGAAGATGATATTGAACCATCAGGTAGCCACGCGATGGATTTGTCTAGAACAGGAGGGAAACGCAGACAGAGGAATTTGGGAAGGAGAGGTCGGGGGGATTCCTGTCTCACTTCGGACTCAGAAAATGAGGTGTACACCTCCATCATTGTGTCTGATGAGGAAAGTCAGAATGGATCTTTAAGGGGGGGCCCTGAGAGCCCTGCTAAAGACGGACAGTCCGAAGTGGGGGTTGGAGGAAAGGTTTTGCGCTCTACAACCGTGTTTCTATCTGATGCAGAGGATGAGTATGAAAATGAGGAGAATGAAGGGGGTCCAAGGGCAAAAAGAAAAAAACTGAAGGGGGAGTTTGATCAGGTGGAGGTGAAAAAGGAGAGACAGGACTCTGATGTTGATCTTGAGTTGGAGGCCCAAGGGGATCCTCCAGGTTCACAGTCCCACGCTGAAATTCCAACCAGTGCCCTCCACTCACTTCCCCTGTCCCTTGCTCCTTTTTCTACTCAGTTCCTCAGCCCCTATGTCCTCTCTCTTACTCCTACACTGCTTGATGGGTGCAAGTTACCCCTGTTCCCTAACCCACCGACAATTACACGCTTCTCCAGCTCCCTTCTCTCGCCTTCCCTCTCATCACACAGCCAAACTTCCCACTACCTGTCTAATGGTGGTGACTGTGAGTCCGCCCTGGATCTCAGCATGGGAAAAAATAACTCAAAATCTGCCTCTTCCTCATCATCTCTGGCTGATAAAATTGCAGCACAAAAGGGACAACTGCTGGATGGCCTTGGCTTGAGGCCAACCTCCAAAGGTCTGGTAGTAGTCCAGGTGAAACCTGAACCTATTAATTCCATGTCCTCCAACGGCATGAGTCTGATAAACTATAACATGTCAAAGTCTAGTATCTACATGAGAGCAGCAGAGAAAATGAATGCCACACTATTGGAAAGAGAGAGAGAAAAGGAGAGGGAGCAGGATCAGCAGCAGAGGAAGTCCAAAGGCAAAAGGTATCGGGATATGCGACGTTCAAGAACCATCATTCAAGCTGAACAACTTGACATTCTGTATGGCTGCTATTTCAAAGACCCGAATCCTGGGAAACATGAGTTTGAACAAATTTCAGAATGGGTCCACCTTCCAAAGAAGGTTGTCCAGATTTGGTTCCAGAACATGAGGGCCAGGGAACGAAAGGGCGAGGTCCGATTCATCAGTGATGGGACGCTGGCAGCGGTTGGAAAACCTCTAATCAAGTTTACCTGGCCTCTTTCCAAACCCATTTTCTCCAACAAACCTGCTCCAAATAATACTGGGTGCATCACAACTACTCCTATTGTGCGCACCCTCATTAAGACGGAGAGAGAGCCAGTAAAGGAGCTGGCCAACCCTGTTGTGGGGAAAAAAATATGCCCAGTTCCTATCAAGCCTAGGGAAGTTTCCTTAGTTTCCTCTACCACAGTCTCTCCTGTGAGCAGCAGTGCTTCTGCAGTGCCAAAGACCAAGCTCCAAACCACCAGCAACGTCACCATGGTCAAAGTTGCACCCAAAATGATCACGCCTGTCCTTTTATCCCCACCCAAGGATCCAATCCCCATTGCACCAAGACCGGTCCAGAAAAGAAAGCTAGAAGACGAGAGCGAAGAAGAAAAGACGGACGATGAGAGGGACAATGACATTGAGATGGGTTCTGGGCCAGGAACCACTAACCGCATGGTGCCCAAGCTGCCCACCGTCCTCATCAACAACAGGCCCCCCGCCACGACAGTGGTGCCACAAAAACAGAACGGGCTCAGCTACTGGACCCCCAAGGTTCCCATTAAGATCAACACTTTATCACGAGAACAGCTGGCTCTTCCGAAACACTCGTCTCCTCGTACCATTCCCCCTCCTCCCACCCCCAGCATTGCACCAGTTAGCCCCAATACCCCCATCTCTGCCAAAGTGGCCAGCCCCTCCACCCCGGTCCTAGCTATATCAAGCCCGACGGAAAGCAAATTTCACTCCAGCCGAAGGCCACGCACACACCTGTCCTGCCTACAGCTGTCCATACTGCAGTCCTGCTACGAGACCTGCGCCCACCCTAATGCGATGGAGTGTGAGGCCATCGGCACCGAGCTCAACCTGCCGCTCAAGGTGGTGCAGATCTGGTTTCAAAACACAAGAGCCAAGGAGAAGCGCTGGAGGCTGCAGCAAGAGAAAATGGTAAGTGGGCAAGGAGACGTAGTATCTGTACAGTATTTTTCAAGGTCTTTGATACAATATCATTGTTTATAGAGTAATGTAATGTAGGTCACTGAGAACAAGAAACGTGCTATCCCATTGCTGCTGTGCACCTTTTTTCATTCTAAAGCTGGGCAATATCTATTATCAGATATTGACTTTCAGTAAGTCTTAGAAAAACTTGAATGACCCCAAATGAGCAATACGTGGTACAGCAGAGTAAACAACGATTCAACATAACCTTGCTGGAGGTTGCAACAGTGCAGGGGACGGGCATATTGTGGTGCACTCACTGTTATTGTTTTACAATAAATTTAAAATAAAATAAATAATAAATGAGAGATTTCAAGTAGATTTTTATTAAAAATAATTAAAGTTGTTGTCCTACACATTTAAAGCTTTGTGATGTGTAGCAGATGTGACATACATTTCCCATATAGGTTCAATATTCATATTGATATTGAGAATTTAATTTCAAGGACCCGGCACTGCTCGTTTCAAGTGTTTTTCTGTGTTTTCTTCATCTGAAAGCAAAATGTTTATAAGCCTGAAGTACTCTACTGCTGTCACTCAGTGTTGCTAATCTAGTTTAGTAATACTCTTACCAAAACTGACTTTTTTTAATTTAATTTTTATACAAATTTTGCTTAGTTTGAAGTTGTCAAACAATTGGAAACACACACATTTCACATTATGAAAACAAGTCATTTCTAAAAGGTAACATTGCAGAATTCTGTGTGTAGAAATGATAGAGGGCTTCAATGTCAGCTGGTTGCTTCAAGCCCCAATTTGAATTAAAAAAGATGTGACATTAAACGTATTCTTGTGTTTCCTTTTCCATTCCCAGTCTCCTCTGTCAGGTGGAAAAGTAGACATGAGCTCGGGAAGCTACCTGCAGTACAACGCTCTCAAAGCCAATCGTCCCATTCTTCCGAAACCAGTTCAGCTGACCGTTACTGAATCTCCAGCTTCCCCAGTGGCGGGTCAGCCAGGGCCGAAGGAGACTCTCACAGGCCGATGTGACGCCTGCAGCATCTCCTTTGAATCCCGGGCAGCAGCGAGGGCACACGTCTTCTCCCCACGTCATCTTGCAACCCTGAGAACCACTAACTTTGGCCAGCCGACGACGCTGGTCAACAAGAATGGCACCGGCTCGCAGGTCCCTCAGTCCACTCCGCTAACCAGCTCGGGAGGGGAGATGGTTATCGATTCGCCTCCACCCACGGCCACCAGCAACAGTTAAAGACTCAGATCAGGATTGGTCTGCACACTGACTATTCTTGGACCCATTTGGGCTCCTCAGATTTTAATAAAATTTGAGCACTAATCCTCGAGAGCTAATATTCTTTAGTTTTTGAAAAACTAGCTCCCCCAGCACCCACTATCCCTTGCTCAACCTTCACCGACTCGAACTCCGTTAATCTAAAGACTTCACCTGGAATCAAATACAACAGCAAACTCTTTCCATGCTGCTTCACACTCACTCAGATGCTGTCTTACAAGTGATGAACTCATCTCAATCCTCACTCACTTTATCCAAACATGTTTGGTCCTACTCCTGTGGTTATATATTACCTTAATTCAATTACCTTCCTATGATTTGTAAAGGCACTCAACTTTGCCATGCTTGAACTTTGCTAACCTAAAGACGGATGCAAAAGTGTTTCCTGTTTGCAAGTGGCCATTTGACGATAGGCCCGGAAACTTTTTGGGATAATAACGTGAAAAACTTGCATAAATAACTCCCAGTTTTCTCCTGTGGAATTGTTTTTCTCATGCCTACGTTCACTTCTAGGGCAAAGAATGCTTGGATATAATATGACTGGACTGAACCATTGGGAGAGCAAGAAGTGGTATTGACTGTCACCTTTTTTTATTTGCTACAGAAGTGTGATCTGAAGAGTGTTGTGTCCATTCATTGGGATAAAAAAAAAATAGGTACTTTAGAGAGAATAGGGCTTTTGAATTGTCCCCATTTACATGTTAGCAGTTTTCATGACAATCCAAATAGACAGGGCAAAAAGAGAGGCTGAGGAAAGTCTCGGCATATCGCACTTTTGACACATTTTACCTAGTTTGAAATGTTTTTAAGCATTCTAATGCAAGTGTCTTTTATGGAAAGATACATAAATGCATGTTGGATGCCTTAATATAAATCACGTGAGATAAATTGATTTTTGCTAGTCTAATAAAACCTTCTTTAGGTGTGACTATAATATTGTACAAGAAGCAGACCTGGATATGTACATGAAGAGCTCTGTTCCAAAAGGCTTTTATATTATTATTATTGGGGGGGTGGGGGGAAACATCTCAATGCCATTCTGTACCTAGAACATAGCAAATTCCGCCTCTAAAGTTTTCAGCACTCTTGGCCAAGGACTATAATTACATAACTACCAACTATCTTGTTTTTGCAACACATTTCTTTGATCCTGTGGATTTCCCTTTCCCTCCCAATGGTATATAGTTCATTTTGAAATGCAGCTCTTCAAACTTGTTGGGGAAAATAAATGTTTTCACCAACTGTGGGTGCGTTAGAAATTTGACAGCCTTAAGAAGAAACACCCCCAGGTATATGAATTTAAGCCCAGGTGATCTTCGTATAATAGTAGTGAATTGATTTCCTCCTCACCTGGCCTGGAGGGTCAGACCAATTTAATGAATTTAAGGTTTTCTTTGCCATGAATACTGTGCATAAGACAGGAAATTTAAGTACTCATTTTATTTACTTCAATATTTATACAAAAGCCAATAGAAGCAATTAAAAACTGATGTAACAGATTGTTTTATTTAGGTCAAAAGCCAAGCCTCTAGAAATATTATATAACAGGGCTTGAAATGGGCTGTTTCCCATACTTTGTTCCCCACGTGTTTTGTTCTGTTTTGATACAAAGAGTTACTAATTCTGGTCATGTAATTCTGTGACATGAGTTCTTATATTTGGAAACCATAACAAGGGAGAAAGTTGGGTATTACTAGTATCCTTAAGGGACTAACGGATACTCAAATCTTGAAAGCAAATTGGGAAACATTAAACGTGTTGACTGAGAGCTATGGTGCTGTGTTGAAGGACACATAACATACTAAAGATGTTTTCCTTCAATTTAAGTTGTATATTAATGTTACTATTGATAGTTTTAACAAAATGCAAAATTAAAACATGAACTTTTGTAAAGAAATATATTAAAAAAATAACTGATATTCCAAAGTAATCCTTCCTTCGCTTTCTGTCATTCAAAAACCAAAAAGCAATCTTGAGGTCGACAGAGAGCAGGAGAGGTGTTTGTAAATGCAAACTGTAAAGGACATCCAACAGCTTGACACTTGCACTAGTCCACAATTTTTGCACAAGCTACAGACATTTCAAATGAACACAGCCATTTACACGACATTAAAGTCACTTGGTGTGGTTTTTGAAACCAGGATGGTAACAATGTCCTTTCATGAGTAATAATTTGTACTCCTGTTGGAAACTGTATCTTGTGTGTCAAGCAACTGGACTGGAGTGCTTTAGCTTCAAGACTGGGATTTCACAAACGCACACACACAGACACGGTGTTGCACTGTCCAAACTAGATAGGTTTTTATGGAGATCTGCTTTTTACTCTCTTATGTTTCATTGTCACTTTGATTATCACTATTGTTATAACTGTACTACTACTTATACGATTTTTCATTACTACTCATCACTGTTTTTTGATTATTATTGATCCATAATGGTTTTAATGCCACCTTTTTGCTCAAAAACAATATGGTATTCCTCTAATATTGAACAATAATAGTGGCAGTGGTGTTAGATTTTTGATTAAGCTTATTTTTTCTCCTCCTCACTTGTACCTGCCTTTTTTGTGTTTGGTCTCCATTATGCTTTCTTTGATATACAGAAAAAGAAATAAAATCAGTTGAACAACAAGTGTATCTGTCTGACTGCAGTGCGATTGGGGCTTTTATCTGTACTTTTTTGATGGTTTAAATTAATAATATATAAAAAAAGTACATTTACAAGAGGGGCATATTTCAAATAAAGGTCACTCAGGTCACACTGGAGGAGACAATTGATATGACTCTACAGTCTACACACAGTGTGCCTGGAATTTATTTGCCTTGCCAGTTCACGAACCACCGAAACCAATATGAATGACAGAAACCTAATCCAATTAAAAGCACACATGCTATTTGGGAACCGGAAAATCCTGCTTGACTATCCAATAGGAACGCGGCAGACATAAAAAAAGGAACGTCCAGAATAATGCATCGACCAATAGGATTGAGAGTTTTACGCCCGCAGTGATACATGACTCCGCCCCCGGCTTCCATTTCTGAACTGAAGGGACGCCGCCGCTCCGCGTAGACTACTCGCCTTTTTTATACACTCATTTAAGTAAATAAACTAGGTTCTCTGACGTTAATTAGGACTTATGCTTAAAGGTATCGAGTGAAATAGCAGTTATTTTTCATCGTGGGGTGCTGTTTGAGTGGTGGCTGGAACTGTAGCTAGCATTTTAATCCCAATTTTAACTTTACTAAGCGGCGTTTTCCGCCGTTTTTTTTCTTTCCGCCGCCCCGCTCACTACCCCCTTGCGCGTGAGTAGGGGCCTGCAACGTTGGTTTGGCCACGAGGAGCGTCGGTACAGTTGGAACGATGGCGGAGTTCGGTAACGGACTGGCGGAGGAATCTCTACTAGATTCAGACCCCGGACATCCCGAGCTGGAAGACCCGGGAGTCGGTGATGAAGAACCGGGGTTAGAAGAGGGGGAGGCCTCGATTGAAGACCCGGTAAGTGAAGGGCATTGTTTCAACTGTGAGAGCGCACATGGTTACCGGGTTACGGTATGGCAAAAGCGTAGTAAGTTAGGTAGTGAAAGCAGCGATACATATGTCAATTTAGTCCACGAATATTGGGTCACATGCGTTGTGCGTTACTGCTATCGCCATGTCTATATTGACCACCATTGTGGTTCACGCAGTGCAGTAGAAATGGGTGGTGACATGCGTTGTGTCGGCAGCCATCTTGGCGCAACAGCAGCGCTAGTTTCTCTGCGCCAGGGAGCAGCTCGAGCTGTTGAGGGGGGGAATCCTCGTCTCAAAAAATGTGAAACGGAGATGCAGGAGACATTCAGGGGCGAGGGTAGGACAGGCCGTCTCCATTAGCCGCCGCTGAGCGAGTCTACCTGCTTGAGAAGGCGACCTGCTTACGGTAATGATTTATTTTATATTTGTATTTCCCCAGTTGTGCAGGCTGCTGCTGCATTACAAAAAACCGGTGTGTGCACACGCAATTGGCATAGCATCAGCAGGCTAACATTCGCTTATCACAAGCTCCAGTATTAAGTGCTGCAGCTAAAATGACCAAGGGACATGTCAACCGTACTCACGATATAAAATGTGGCTGTTCACCTTCAACTACTTTAAACCTGCTAGCTAGATTATTTTGCCATAACAGGAGCCTGACATGCTATCAGGCTAGCTCATTTTAACAAAGCTGGGGTGGAGACAGACATGCACCTGCCTGGTCATCGCTGTCATTCATTGTCAGATGGTTGGTATTGGCATCAGTTGGACACAAGATCAATTATGAAAAAATAAGTCAGGCTGCCTATTCTTTTTTTCATCACCTGCAGACTCGTGCACAATCCATGATTATGTATTTGCAGCATGCCCAGGTGGGTTTTGATGTTGCACTGCTGTCTGTTGGGCAGTGAGAGCGCAGCATGCAACGCAGAAGCAGGGGTTGCGGTATTTGAGGGGCTGGGTTTGCATCCTTCAATGTTTTGCAAGCCTGAGAAAAGGGAGGGGACTGGATGAGCTTCCACTGAATATGCGACAACTAAAATAAGACCCAAGGTGTCTTGTTGCTGGTTTTTTATACAATCTTTCCGTGTAGGTGGATTACTTCCCCTCTTCCATGATCTCCACATGCATGTGGCTAAAGGGTGGATAGCTAAGAAATGATAGGGTACATCACATGCAGTGTGAATGTGGTGCACTCTGCAGCCCCCCCACTCTCCTTTAGTGAAAATACCTTGCTTTTTATATGGGTGTCTGTGTCACTGCACCCTGCTGTACAAAGAGCCTTTACATTACACATCCTGTCAGCTCAGGCCTAGATGGAGCTGGACTGAATCCCACAGTGCTGCAGTGCACCACTGTTGGACAGGGGGTCCACTCCCACGTGAGGACATCTCTCAGTTTACTATAGGAATATTTCTTTTTTCAGTGATTGTTTTGTGGGTTCCACAATGTCTTTATTCCTCAGACCTCATCAGCGTCTCTGGCCCAAATATATTTCCAGCTGAGTTTCCTAAAAGACTAATTGAATTTCAGTTGTATCAGAGCTGCAGCACATACATTAGTTATCGATTGACATGTTCCCTGTCAACATAAATTAAATGCAAATGTCTATCACGTGCATGAACCCATAGACATGTCAGCCAGAAATATTGTATTTATAACTGAGAGAAAAAGGGCCCATATTCACTTTTATGTATAGTGCATATGTACACATTTTTTCATTGCCTTAAATGATGTACTGGAATTGGTATGATTTACTTATGTTCAAATGTTATAGTTGGGCAGAATCAGTGCACATACTTGGTTCTCTTTAGATCGAGGTCATGTTAGGACTGCAGCATCACTTTCACATGTGCAGCATCTCCTTCTCCTCTGCCATCTTCCTGCAGGGCTGCAGCTAACAGTTACACTGGTTTCATTATGATTCAATCAGACTATTATTACCTGGATTTACTAATAGTTGGACATTTTGGTTGTCTAACGCCGCACCTCCACTTCCCTGTAGCATACCTTTATCATCCACTATATCAAGTGATAACGACACTTGTAATAACTCACAATGAACTGATGGATTTGTCTGTGTTGCAGGAGCTGGAGGCAATCAAAGCCCGGGTGAGAGAGATGGAGGAAGAGGCAGAGAAGCTGAAGGAGCTCCAGAACGAGGTGGAGAAACAGATGAATCTCAGCCCCCCACCAGGTTCGTTTGTGTGTGTTTTTGTAAGTTGGGAAGCCTCTTCCCTCTCCAAATCTGTCCACATGTTCAATTTCTCCCCTACGGTCAAATAAATGCATGTCAAAATAATGAAAGAACATCACAATACTCTCATAAGAAATTAAACTATTGAATCCTCTTCAGCCTGTAACCCCAATTTACAGTTTTAACATTTTAACGTGTGTTAAGATATGCACTTATTTATTATTGGAGTGTACAAAGCTGTGATTAATCCCTCCGCATGTACCTTTGTTAGGTTTGACATCTAAATCTATATTTGATGCATGGCTTTGTTAAATGAAGCCTGTTTGTTTCTCTCTTAGCGGTACACTTGATTTAATAATACAGTAGAGTAGTGTAATAGCATAGCCCGAGTCTGCTATTTGAAGGCTGTTTCCATACAAATGTTGTGCATCAATTACTTGATGCACAACTTGCAGATCAATTTGTATCTTTAAAGGTTTGATAATGCTGCAGAAATGCAAACATCAGAGAGAATGGTAGTGAATAGGGGAAAATGCAGTACTTCACAAATAGTCTTGAAACAACATTTTAAAAATCACTTTGAACCCTACACCAATTTCAGATAATGGACTTAAGTCTGATGGACCTAACATTGTAAATGCACTTAAAATATAAAGTTTTGTTTTCCCTTCTTTCCCCTGTGCAGTCGGCCCTGTCATCATGTCCATCGAGGAAAAGATGGAAGCAGATGGCAGATCTATTTACGTCGGAAACGTAAGTAATGGTCCCGTTTAGATGCCATTTTGGCCACATTTTCTGTTGCAACTTATGAAATCACGGAAAATCAATTCTAATGGTTTTGACAGATAATCATGACTTAAGAGTGATGCAAATGTATTAGCCACGTTCATGTTATACCCACAGTTGGCTGGTTGATGGCGCTGATTGTGTGTCCTTCCTCTAGCAAATGCTTAATTGGAATTAGGTGGTGGTAGCTCAAGCTGTATTCACAGCCCCTTTCTTGCTAGAAAATGACTCCCAAGAGCATTGTTTGGGTCTTTCACTCTGTCCCCAGTGGGTGTTCTGGTAAATGGTTTTCTCTTTGCTACTCTGCCATAAAGCTGCGGGAAGCACCCTGGCAACAATTGTTTTATTTACAGTGTCCTAAATCAATGGAGCCCATATACTTCTCTAGTATTTCCTTTAGGTAGCTAAACACTGGTGCCCCTTACACACAAACCATTTTAGGGCTGCATGCCATAGAATGAGTCAAAGCTGTGTATAAAGGAGTAACTGAACTCTAGAAGATATTCATATTCTCATTTCTAATAACACTTAAAAAACAATGAATGTATTTGGGCTCGATTTGATGATGTGTAGAGTTTTTGTTATCCATTTTTAACATTTGACCTAGTTTATATCAGTCTGTAAATGTAAAAGATTTGTGGATATGCCTTAAAGACTAGCACACAAAATGGCCACGATGAAGCATATCCTTATGAAAAATGAATCTTGATGATATGTGCATATGCTTAAGAAGTGGTGATGCAGCTCTTTTGGTGTCTAACCTTTTATCTCGTCTTTCTGCAGGTGGACTATGGTGCCACGGCAGAAGAGCTCGAGGCTCACTTTCATGGCTGCGGTTCAGTAAACAGAGTCACCATCCTATGTGACAAATACACAGGGCATCCCAAAGGGTAACACGCCATCATAATACTGTGTCTCTCATAATGCAGTGTTTGAATCAGTGGAGGGGTGGATCCCAAGTTGTATATCAAATACACCAAAGTCACGCCGTTGGCAGAGGGGGAAAAAAACTGCTCTGGGTAGACAGCTTTTTTTCCTTCTCATTAAGTATCTATACAAATCATGAAGTTTCAATAAAGCTGGATGGTTGAATGTGATTGCTTTTGTTAAAAAAAAGCCAGGGCTCAACAGTAATGTTTCGCTGGGACCAGATTTGAACAACTGACAGCATTTTGTGAGTGGCGCTTTCACTTTTACTTTTTGTTTACATTTTTTTTGAGCAGATAACACAAATCTGGTATCCGTTGCTGACATCATACATTTTTCATTAAACTGTTTGCATTAGATCACAAGAGATTGCTTTATTCAAACTCATTTATTCAGAGTTTAATACATCTTTCAGATATTTGTGATAACCTTGAAAAACGAGTTAATTCTATCAAGTCCATAAGTATTATTTTTAACTAACAGTCATGGCAATTTTCATGACAAATCAATTAGTTACTGGACGGATTACTAAAAGTGAGTTTCTTTACAAAGAATCACACAAAAGCACCGCTTCAGCATTTGTGTTTGGGCCGCAGAGTCCTTTTCACATGTTCAATGGGAGGATGTTTTGGGTGTCTGGATGTAGAGATAAAGACCTCAGAGATGTTCGGACTCCAATGACATAAATTAGAAATGGTCCAATGGGTACGGACACTGTTCCTCCCACACGCAGTGATTATTCAAGAATCTAGGTTAGCAAATAGAGCTAAGTGCAATGTTTTTGTTATAACCATCCACACATACATGCTGTACCAAGTCTTGGTGTCAAATTGGTGTTTTAATAAACATAGATTCAAGTGAAGACAACTGAGATCCCATTTATTCTACTATTTATCAAAGATGAAGCAAATCAAGTTTTCCACATCCAGTTGATTAATCTTTTTGTGTTTTCTTCAGGTTTGCCTATATTGAGTTTGCAGACAAAGAGTCTGTTAGGACAGCCATGGCTTTGGATGAGTCCCTTTTTAGAGGAAGGCAGATAAAGGTAAGATTCGCTCATTGAGATTTCAGCAGTTTAAGGTTGTAATGACAAGTGTGAACGCTGTGAAAGGGAAACAAGACATTCGCGGTTACTTTCATTTTCTCTTAAATGAGCCTAAGCATGTTTATCCCTTGTGTTCTAAAAACTGTAACTTTATCTTGTGAATTGTTGAACTCAATATATTGTAGCCGAAGTAACCGTGACTACATCAACAAAATAGTTGACCTATATTGACACTGGGTGAACAGTGAATGGAATGGCTTTATATGCCTTTGCCAAAGCGGCACCTGACTGGAACTGCAAACCACAGAAACCTTAATATATCTTGTATTTCCAAGACGGAAACAAGACAGTTGTGAATTTTTTTTTCCGAGTTGAGATAAACCTCAATAATAATCAGGAATTTTAGCAGTGTTCCTAAAAATCTGTTTTTTAAGGTCACATTCATTTTTGTAACTCCTGCTGAATCCCCGCTCCTCAGGTGGGCGCTAAGAGAACAAACAGACCTGGCATCAGCACCACAGACCGCGGCTTTCCACGGGCTCGGTTCCGGTCACGTGGAGGCGGCGGTGGCGGAGGAGGAGGTGGAGGCGGCGGAGGAGGAGGAAGCTTCTCGTCGAGGGCGCGCTATTACAGTGGATACACACCACCCAGAGGCAGAGGCCGGGCCTTCAGGTGAGCTCACGCCGAGACACCTCTCTTCTGAGACCCTGGGAGAACACTACATGCACTGCACCTCACTCACTGTTAGCTTCTCAAAGGACAGGACGAACGAGGCAGACTATCATGACCAGCCAGGAGGGCAAAATGATTTACATAGACCTGTAGATATTTATTTGTTGTACAGACAGAAAAAATGAAACTCAGATAAGGCTGCTATTCTACAGCTACTTAGATTTTCCTTTAATGGTTCAAAAGTATTCTGCTTGTATTTAAAAACAATAACACAATGAGGAAGTATATAATGTTACAATATACATTTATAAAATATTTTATTAGTTCGCCATTGTTTGTAGTGTCCGCAAACTGGAACCTAAATCAAATTCAAGCCTGCCTTCAACTATATAGATTGTTTTGGAGACTTTAATAGAAACACAGGTACATGCGGTGGGTTTAGAAATCACAACGGTTGTGGGACTACGGGGCTCATTGCATGCCACATCACATATAACATCTCAACTCTGTGCACATCAGTTTGTTCATCCCAGGCTGTACATACACTCTGCATTAGTTGGAACTAAGTCGGGTCAGTGCCCATTCTTCGGTAATTAATCGACAACAGAAAGATGCTGCTAAAACTCCGGCAGCTGCTTCTTATGCTAATGTCTTTTGGAAATATGGGATGTCATTTGTAATTGGATCCTTTTTATAGCAAAGGAATGATCAATCATTTTAGTCAGTACTGTGACCCTTAGCTTTGCTTTCTCTACGGAGGAATTGTGGCAATTGTTTGCTCCATCCCATCAATAGTGTGTTCGTAATGCCATTACTGTGATCCATGTTGACCCACAGTTAGCCTGGTGTTGTGCACAGGGTGGCTTTCTACATAGTGTTGGGTTAGGCTGTGATTTAGACCTCTGCAGTGAGACCCTGAGAGTCTTTTGTAGTCTTCATTTCTACTGCAAGGCCAGTATAACTTAAAACGTTCACAGCATGAGATGATAAAAACACCTGGCAGTCAACTATTAACTGCAGTTTCTAAATCTGACATAAGGAACAAGGTAATCTGCTGTCCCTTTTACTGTAAAATGTTGCCAGTCATTGAAAGCAGGAATAAATCCAGGCTACAAAGAATGTCAATGGTAACTCCATAACTGAGGAGGTGTGGCGCCAAACACGTTGATCAGCATGCCAGCTTCCCTACACACGCACTGAGCTTTGAGATCGAGAGATTCTGATTTGATCCACCCTGCTACGCATCTGGAACCTTTTGCCTTGGCTGATGCTTCAATCTTAATGTCCAACAGAGGATATTCCAGGAAAAGATGCTGCAGCAGTTCTTTTGGAAAGCGCTTCATACAGAGATCTGTATTTCAGTCTTGAAGACAGTATGCCAAGTTCTTCTGACGAGCAGCTATTTATTCTAATTATTTTAGCTTGTGTATTTTTCTTTTAAGTTATTCCCATGCTTCTTACTAGTATTTGTGCAATTAATTCCCATTTCAGCAAGACTGCCTGTAACGGGTTACATTTGGAGATGTAACCTGAGAAATGGTTACATCTCTGTTCATTCCTTTGTGTGAGAAAGTGTCTGAACCTCAAGGTCAGAATCTCTCTAATCACTCTGTGCGCTCGGCCCCCGCCCCCCCCCACATACCAAGAAGCCCTAACCCTGCCAGTGTACTCGCTGCTGAGCGGCAGGACAACGCACACAGATATGTGGGGAAGCTAAAGGGTTGTTAATACTACATCAAATCTGCAGAAGCTTAAAGAACTGATAGTCATGTGTAGTTTATCAGCGTAAAGCATTCTTTGCATTTTCCTTTAACGGCTTTAAGTTGTTGGTTGGTGTGCTAGGTTATGTGTGCAGTTATGTTAATATAATGAGTGGCAAAAACCATGCATATTAACAGTTCAAGATGTTGATGAGTAAATTGCAGTCAGTCAGATGGAACATGGCAGTTCCGAGGTTGTGAAATATTTGTTGTTGCCAAAAGTGATACAACTGTATTAATAATCATAGAAAACACCCTTAAGTGTATCACAGATAAGCACAATGTGTGTCTGTATTATCATACAGCATTGGCTAATATGTTCTAATCACCTACAGAGTAGCAGGCAGAGAGTTGTTCCACCCTAAGTGGCCTTGGTCACATCTTGCAGAGGAGCAGTCTGGCTGCTACATTAGGAATTCATCCCTCGTCTTCTCAGGACTGCTGCAGCTGAACAGAATCATGCTCAGATCTGAACCAAATAACACTTTTCACGTGTGCCTTGTCTTGTTGGAACACATCCATGTTGAAGAATATCACAAAATCTTTGCAATGACCCATTGTGAGCTTGGGAAGATTTCATAGATTGAATAGTATTAATGGGCTTAGGGAAGCACTTAACACCTTGCACCTTGACTGAAAGCTAAATCAAGTCATTTATTATAATTTGCACCTCAGAAATTGGCCTCTGTCTCCAGCTTTGCATTGATTCACATCCTTATTGTCATCTTCCCAAGTATACACTATGGAAATTCGAGATTTTGACATGAGCCAGAAAACGTACACGATGCAGAATATCTTTGCCTTCCTGTGCTTACGTAGAGTGTATGTCCTTGCATGTACATAACCCCCTCCCACACACACATACTCCAACCCAGATTCACCTTTACAGCGTTCACTCCCAGAAACGAGGGTTCATTACTGCAGCCTGACCTCAGCATCTAGACTGACAACCACAGGCTTCAGTCCCAGTGTGGCCTTTTTTCTGTTCGTTGCCACTGAATGGTGTGTTTGTGTGTGTGTGTGAGTGAGGAAGAGGAGATGTGTGCAAGGCAGTGTTGTGAGTGTAAATAATAATGCTGCAGTTGTGAGTCCCCCAAATTGTCAACTGTGTGTCGGTGTGTATGTATGTGCACCGTGTCTTGCTGGGGGCATGTGTGGTGCTGTTTGTCCTCAAGGTCTTTCCCCACAGTGACCCCAGAGGCGGCTCTCGCACACAGAGAGAGAGAAAGAGGGAGAGAAAGTGCCTTTGCTGTCCCCTCACACCCACACACTAATGATTATTCCAATATCTGGAAATTAAACACTTTTTCTCTCTTGACAAAGCTGCTTTCAGCTTCTTTCAGCACTTTAGTCCACTCCTTGTCAATACCGTTAACATGGTATGTCGATATATTAATTGTGAACACTGTCATATTGAAATATATAAATATATTTTTTCCCCTTCAGTTTGCAGACTCTTTCTCTGGCCACAATCTCACACACATATATCACACCAGGAAATTGGTGTCAGTCTTCTTAAGCCAACCAGAAAAAAAAAACTCACCCTCTTTTTCTCTCTCTTTTCCAGGGGCCGAGGGCGAACAACATCGTGGTATTCCCCTTACTAAACACCCCCCCCCTCCCAACACTCCCATACTATCAACCCTCTCCCCTCTCTGTTCCCATTTAAACAAAAAAAAAAAACACTCGCACACACACACAATATGAGAAAAGTCCCCAACAATAAAAGAAGAGAATCCCAGAAGAGAGAAAAAAAAAAGACAAAAAAAAGGAATAAAAAAAAAAAAGCTCTCCTGGACAGAGAGACTGACTGGCCGCAGTGTGCGATTGTGTGTGAGCGTGCGTGTGCGGAGGTTGGTGCGTCACCCCTGGTAAGGTATCAGTTGGCCATTGGGGAGAGGAAACGGTGGCTCGTTTGTTTTCTGTTGGTTTTGAGGGAGGGGAGTGGGAGGCGGGGCATGTGGGGGCAGAGAAGATGGTGGTATCTCAGGCTGCAGATGTGTCTCCTTTGGTCTGGCTGTGACCTCCTGCTTTCACACCATCACCAACACAGCCCACCCACTCACCCTCCACCACCACCAAAAAAAACGAAAAAAAAAAAAAAAAAACATGTGGGGGGGGGGGTGGGGCAACAAGAAAATCAACTGTTATGTTTTTTAATGTACCGTACACATGTGAAACTTCCACTCAGCCAGGATATATGTTGTGTTTTTAAGTTTGTGGTTTGGAGTATATCATTACCTACCCATCCCCGAACCCCCCCTTTGTGTCTGCCTCACCCCTTACCCCTGCTGCATTTTATAACTCATGCTTTTTCTCCCCCCTGCCCTGCTGTTTGGCTCATCACACCATGGATTGTGTTTTTTCTCTGGACAGTGATGGACCCTCAGTGTTCAGTGGGATTGTAAATGCTTAGTTTTTTTTTTTTTTCGTGGGTGGGGTCTTCCTGCTGACCCCCCCCTCCCCTCCCCGCCGCTCGTCCATATTGTCACCTCCAACTCAGGCATGGCCACAGCTCGTTTTATTCATTTGACAGGCATCGATGTTTTTATTTTCGTGCACCCCCCCCCCTCCATCCCCCTTCTCCCCTCCCCTCCTCTGTGATCCTTGTCTCCCGTCTTCCCCCCCTCCCCTCCCCCGTCCTCTCTCTGTATATTAGACCACTTCTTGTCGTTTCAGGTTTCAGGACCAGTGGAGGCTGACGACCCCTCCCCAAGTGGCGCAGGCCCCCCCCACTGTCTCTGCAGCGTCTCTCTCTCTCTCTGCTCCCGCTATGCACACTCACCCCATCCTGTCCGTGTGGGGGGGAGGGGGGCAGGGCGACCACAGGCCTGCCGCGGGGGGCATTTACTACAACAGCAAACGCTGATGATGCTTTTAGACCCTTTCACACTTCGACACACAGAGGACACACAGAGGACACACACACACACACACACAACACACACACGTTAACAGGCAGCCAACCCAACACATGATTTATATTCAGAGAGCTGACGCCAACTTAGCGGAGTGGCAGGCGAGTCTGCGTGAGAGTGAGGAAGGCAGGACCAGAGACGAGGGTGTTTTTCAGGGGGTGTACAGCGCTGACCTTAAGCCCCCCCCCCCCCCTTTCTCTGACGACGCGCAGTGCAGCCACGGCTTCTCTGAGGAAGGCCGACAAGCTAACGGCATTGAGTATTAATTTAATAATTGGAGTGGGCCGGAGCTGTTATTTTAGGGTGGGGAACTTCAGGGGTGGGGGTTTGTGTGGAGACTTTTTCTTTTTTTGAAAAGAGGGAGTGGGTTTGAACAAATGTTTTGCTTTTTTTAATTTTATTTTTAACCCATGAGTCTGTAATTAGAGAAAAAATAAATAAAGACATTGTGTAAAAATTAGACTGTTTGTGTCTGAGTTTGTTCTGACTTCCATTTCTGCCCCGCTGGTAAAAAGTGATGCTTAATATCAATAAACAAGACTGTCTACCATAGGAAAAGGTTAAACTGTACACTATCTAAATACTATTCCAACAATTACACTTGTCCTTCCTATGTTGATACAGTGCTGCAATCCTTATTAAAAAGAAATGATCCAACAAAATTGTTTTTATGCCTGTATGATGTTTGCAGCCTCTCCAACATTAGCCCTTTGTTTTATATCATGAACTGAAAACATTTGGGTTTTCAACTAACACCTTAGACTTTGAGAAATTGGGGTTGATATTTTGACAAAGTGATAACCCGATTTGCCAATGAAAAACGTATTTGGTTGTAGCCCTGAAATGTCTACATGTATGCTTACTAATTAACGCTAACAGTAGGGTTAACCTTAGCACCACACTATCACCCAGAGACCAGCATAATGAAACAATTATTTGTATAGTTGTCAGGTTCCTGCAGCAGCTTAAATCAGCATCTGGCTGCTTCCCAAGCTATTGTGTACACATGGTGGAACTGAAGGTCTATTTAAAAGTTAATCAATAATTGAATACTTGAACATGTCCTGAAATACATTATCATGTCTCTCCTAGCACGAGGTAATTAGATGGCAGTTATCTTGAAAGTCACTCAACATTCCAGTTTTTATCCTAATTGATAAGGGAGCAATGTGACTGCCCTCTAATGGACATAAATAAAATTGAACAGACATGCTAGAGTCAAAGGTAAATGTTTATTTGACAAACTGAATGAAAAAGTCATACATATTGCAGAGGTGGAGAATGTATGCCAAGCACAACTGACTTCTTTGTTTCCAAATCCTCTGAAGTATAAACTAAAACAATGACGGCTGTAGATAAGTCCTCTTGTCATAATTTGGTCCTCTTGCATCATGTTGCCGGTCTATTTGTGCTTCTTGAAAGCTGCAGAGAAGGACAAGCAGATATTCACAAACAGGATTAAAATGCAAAAAAAGCACTTGATTGTGGTTTATTTTCTTATTTTTAAACATTGTATTGAATAGTAAATTACACCAAACCAATATCACACTTTGGTTCTAAAATAAAGATCTTATTTAACCTACCAAAAGTACACCAATTACTTTCTTAACAAGTCAATTAGTAGGATTTCAAGGTAATGGAGCATAATTGTTTTTTCTCAATTCTGTTTTCTGAGGTATATTTGAAAGTCCTTACCCTTTCTTTTGGTTTTCTTCTTCATGAGTTTCTTCTTTTTCTTGGGGCCAGAGCTAAGCCCATCCTGCAGCAATAAAGAAAAAAGTCACATTAGGAATGTGATCAAAATAAAAACAACGCTCCCATTCATGCCGGACCGAGATGAGCCTTTGAGCATAAACAATTGTAGCTTCTCATGTTGTCCGGCACCAAATCTAAACATAGCAGCACGAGGTTGGCAAGTCATTACTCTGACTCATTAGTACTTTTTATGACAGTGAATTCAGACAGGGTACAGAGGGGCATGTGTCCATTCTGACATTCATTATGTGCACTTGGAAGCCCAAATTGAATTAAAGTAAATATGAACAATTCAGCATGTCCTGTTCTCTCCAGTTAAGGGTCTACTGCTTGATTAGAGCCCCAAATTCCTGTTCTCTCTGAGACAAACTCTCAATAAATTCCTCTCAAACTTTAATATTCAGATTTTTACAAATGTAGCTCAGAGTGGGATGTGACCCCCTCTTTGAGAGGTTTGTGTAAAGATGTCAGTGTACGCTCACCTGGCCCCCCTCGCCGCCAGTCAATGCTGAGATGTCACTGAAGTGTGTGATGCCGTTCAGCTGGCCCGACATGGACATGGACCCTCTCTTATTGGCGTTCTTCTGACGAGTTGGCACGTTGAGACGCACCAACATAGACTCCTCGTAATTTTTCCTATGAGGAAGAAAAGAGTTATAGAGGATGGAAACTCATCTAAAAATCCTCATCAAGTATTCCAGTAAAGGCTAAACCCCCACTGTCTTGCATCTTATCAGCTATCGGCCAACAGACCTGTTGAAATAAATCAAACTGTTAAACACCTGTGCAGCTCGTCGCGGCTCTCCTTGTCGCTCTGGAAGTCCCGCCTGTCCCTGATCTCCTCTGGAGCGTCGCTGTACTGCTGCCTCAGCTCCTGGATCACTGAGCTCCTGAGGGCCGCTCGCTTCTGACGCTCCAACAGAGCCTTTTTCTTGTCCGCTTCTGTCATGTCACCGTCTGGAGGACACGTGGTGAGATTTTTGTCATGCACATATTCCACATGGGAAACATCTTTGATTTTATGGCTGAGCAGGGATTTGATTTGGATTTTTTTGACAAGAAACAGAACAAATAACAGTTTAAAAAAGACAAATGACCTTACCATAGTGCATTGGAGCAATCTTTGGAGGTACATATTTCTTGCCACTAGAGTGGGCTGCTTTCTTCTCCGTTGTATTTTCAGCTTCACCTTCAGACTCTTCAGATTCACTCAACTGGTTGATGAAGCAAAGAAGGAAATCAGTTAAAATGCTGTGTTTTCATCCCAAATTATTAAATCAAAGCTCGCCTGAAATGTCTTTTAGCAAATGTAGAAAAAGGAACTATCCAAAAATAACTAATACAATTTTGCTACTCTTACTGTTTTCAGTTTGGCACAAGCATTAAGGTTTATCAATGACAAAAGTGTAACACCTAAATAAAAGTGGTTATTAAAATGATCACGATATTCAGCCCTTACTTTGCTGATGAGATTCTCAGGATTAGGACGCAGCTGCAGTGGGTCATTCTCAGCTGAAATTAAGATAATGCATTGTTATACACTGAAGCCTGTTAAACATGGAGGGAAGGATCTCAGATCAGTCCAATCAGTCTTACCCAAACTGCCAGTGACCGCTGTGCGCACCAGTTTATCAATCTGGTATTTAAGCTTGTGGTCTAGCGGTCGCATCTTCTCCAAGACCTTAAAGCAGGATGAGAAAAAAGCATTTAGACGCTTTAAGAATAAAAAAATAGGTTCTTTATTAGCAGCTTATCTCTACCATCATCTCACCGTTCTTATAGTGACCAGTCTACTTATGGCTTCACTGTCTTTTATTTTGCCTCCTTCTGTTTTGATGCTGATCAGGTGAGTGAGGTCTTGGAGGTAGAAGACCAGCAGGTGATACCGAAGGTCCAAAAAGACAAACCCTGCAGAGAGAGAAGACAGAGTGAGTCCGGAAAGGACTGTTCGTCTAGATCAGAGCTGCTAAACAATTCTTTACAATCTGTTTTATTTAGATGAGGGTAAAAAAAAAAATCCCTAGTTACAGGTGTCTAAAAAAAGGGGAAATTCTCTAAAAACATTGTAATTGCAAACATAAAAACTGCTTTTACCACTTTATATTTAATCCCATTTAACAAACTACTAGTCATTATACTTTTCTAACGATTTACTACATGTTTTCGGAATGTATGCTGGTTCCTTAAATTGTATCCTGTCATGTACCAGTTTTTTTAATCTTATTGTTTAAATCTGATGTTTGGTTTTTCATATTTATTAGCCTTGCTGTCCAGGATTTTAGATAACAAGATCCCACTCACCTTCGATGTCTTGAATGCCCCATCTTTGACTTTTGTTATCAGCTCACGCACATGACTTGTTACTGAGGCCAGCTAAAGAGAGAAAAGCAAAACAAGCTATATGTCACAAAAGTAACCACCACAGTAAAATAACAATGAGACATGAAATCACTTGATGACCAATTCTACCAAAAATACAAAATACAACAACAACATACAAATAATATTTTCTCAAGCATGCATGCAACCAAAACAACCAGGAAAAAAAAGACTGAACTAACAAAAACTAAAGCCTTATAGACTTTCCCTTCTTTTGAATGCAGCTTTGCACACTGGCTCTGACTTGTCTTTGAATTGTTTGTTTTTTAATGTAGTTTTATGTATTTTTTATTAGTTTTGGGTGAGCCACTAAACTAAGAATATGTTGTGTTTTTATGTGATAGACAAGTCTTTTATCCTTAATCTTCTGTAATGTCACCTTGAGATGTAATAGCTATTTGTTTATAATGGTTCTATTAGTGAGCATTATTACAACACAAAGTTCTTACCTGTTCTGTGAGGTTCCTCAGTAGCTGTACAGCTGTAGGCAAATCCCTTTCTATTAAATCCTGTCAGAAAGAAAACATGTCAGAAATACAATGCAAAACACATAGCACTATTTATCTACAGCAAAATGTGGGTAATGTAGTAGAGATGCTAGTAAAAAGCGAGTGAGCTAGTGGCAAGCTGGTTAACTTGAGCCATTTCAAAAAAGTATTATCACTAGCTTTTACCAATATCAATTATAAACGATAAAAGCATGGTTATACATCGTAGAAAATGTCTATAATATTGACGTAAAGTGTAGAAAGATTAAATAAATGTTTTTATTTTCAGCTAGCAAGTTTTACTCACGTTGTCAATAGGGGCAGCCATTTTGTTTGAAAGTGGTCTACGGAAGGGGAAGAGGGACAATAGAGATTATGCGCGTTACAAAATTGCATGAAAACCGATGATAACACTTTAGCAAGCGTAAAGTTAAATAATGTTTTTGACAGTAGTAGTTAGTGACCTCACACAATAATCTGTTTAATTTTCGTGTTCCAGAATTAGTTTACAGTGAAAATTACTTTTGATTGGTAACATTATTGGCATTATACTGAATGTCAAGATAATTACACTGCCTCGTTTTACTGTTTGTGCATGTGCTTTAGTGTGAGAGAGTGAGAGAGAGAGAGAGAGAGAGAGAGAGAGAGAGAGAGAGAGAGAGAGAGAGAGGAAGAAGTGATGGTGAGTACCTGTCAGTGTGTCTCCTGTCTCTCAGTCCAGTGTAAGTCAAACTGTCAGACAGACCTGAAGAACAGTCTATCTGAAGTGCCAAATCATGGTAAGTCAGATATTAAGTTTGTTTATAGTGTGTGAAAAATAGTTTGCACTTATATTAGCAGTGGATTCATCTCTTGATTATTTTCTGAAATGAATTAAAACATTTAAAAAAATCATAACCAGAGTCTTTATATTTCAACCTAGACACAGTGATTACTATTAAATAAGACAAATATGAACAGCAAATATTCAATATGTAAGGCTTGCATTTTTTTACCTTAAAAGAAAGAAAAAATCCAAAATGTTGATTGTTTCTGTCGATAATAGTTTCAGCTATAATATGCTGTTATTGTACACTTTAAACATTGTTACGATCTGCCAAAGTTGCATCTCTCCTTTGAATGGTTTCCTTTTCGTATAGGTTTTATTTTCATATTTATTGGAAATCTCAAGAGTAAATTAGATATACAATATAGAATGAGGGAGTAGAATTAGGATATTTCCATTTTATAACCATTGTTAGTAACATGTATTCCACCTTTTTACTAATGTTGTTGATAGAATTACAGCAGATTTAACTACATTACACATTTTTGCATGTTTTAACATTGCAGTTCTTCTGTTCTCATTGGTCAAATTTAACTATTTACTATTTACATTTAACTGGGTAAAACTACACCATTTTGAACCACTTCGATGTATTTACATTATCATTCTTAGTTTATACTTCTAATGCACTTCTAGGACACTATTTTACTTAAAGTATAAAACATTTCCAGCTGTCTAGTGATACTTAGACATTAATACATCTCTAATTATACCCCAGTGATATAACATAATGGTTTTAACCCTGTGATATGATTTATATTATTCTAAATTTAGCCATTATGCATAATGAGTACTTTAACTTTCGGTACTTGATACACTGTTGTATTACTTTTACTCATAGATCTGAGTATACCACTGTGATCTGTTTCTCTTTCTTATTCGTGTGTTACTTTTCTAGCTGTTGTGTATTTTTTATTGTTCTTTTTGTGTTTTTTCATTTATTTTCTGCTTCTCCCCCCCAGATGTCTGATTCCAGGGCTTCTTCTGTGATCCAGGAGTGGGCCGGTTCATACCCGGGTCAGAACCACACCCTGAACCAGACCTCGGCGTCCAATCAGCTGTCTCAGATGGACATGATGCCGTACGGGCAGGCTCAGGGGCTGGGGCGGGGGGGCCCTGATGACAGGGTCTCTGAGCAGATGATGGGACTGTCTTATCTGCCCTACACCTCTTCCTGTCTCAGCAACACCTCAAACGCAGGAAACACAAACCACCACCAGAGCCACATCAACACGCAGCAGGTGTGTGTTAGTGTGTGTAAAGATTATTTACTTAATATATAACAATTCCAACAACATTTCTGATGCGGGGAAACCATCAAACGGGGTGCTTGTGCTCGGTGACGGATTCTTACTAAGTACATTTACTCAAGTACTTCAACTTATGTTGAGGTAATTGTAGTTCACTGGGGTATTTTCACATTATGCTACATTATAATACATAACTGTATAAGGTTGGTTTGAAGCAATAATATGACGTTTAAATAAAAAATATATGGTGCAACTTAATATTATTGCTTTCAACTAACCTAATACAGTTATGTGAAATCTGTTGACATAATACATGTAATTAAAGTCAACGTTTCAGTTGTTTCAGTGTAAGAGATCTAAGTATTTCCTCCTCTGCTTGTGTTCCTGTTCTCCAGGACTTCTCCTCCTTCCTCATGCCCACTTTGCGGGCCCCGGTCAACAAGAGGAGCCTCAGCAAGGACAGTGCAGAGTACCGGCTGCGGAGAGAGAGGAACAACGTGGCCGTGAGGAAGAGCAGGGACAAGGCCCGCCGGAGGATCCAGATGACCCAGCAGAGGGCCGTGCAGCTGCAGGAGGAGAACCAGAGGCTGCAGAGCAGGATCGGACAGCTGACACAGGAGCTGGACTCTCTGAAACACATCCTGTCCCAGCGGCACCTGCAGGGAGCCGAGGGGGGGGCTGCAGGAGAGGCCGGTATCTAGAACCACCATTTGTATTAATCATAGCAATCAGATTCAATATTCGTGTCCAAACAGGCCTCTAAATGTCTTCTTGTTGGTGCCGAATATTGCATCTACTTGTGAAAAAAGTCATTTATAAAATAATTAGGCATTCATTTGAAGATGAAGGATTTTGTAATAGAGAGATTGTTTTGTGGAGGCACAGAAAGATCCAGGAAAACAGTCAGAGGGGGCCATGGGAAATCTGAATTCCTAACATAAATAAATATAAAGCATTCAAATTTGGCTTAGAAAAGACCTGGATCCCACCCTAGTACTCTTGGCTTTGGGGGGTTTCCAGTCATATTATAAGGGGGGTTTCACCCCATGCAACTTCCTGCTGACCTCGGTTTTTAAAAATGTGTGGCTAATGCACTGTTTGCTGGACTTTTTAAATAAATGAAATAATCACCTGAACAAGAGACATTCAGTCCTAATGTAGATCCGTAAGACGTGGTTTGATTGTAGATGTCATTGTATATTCTTAACTGTGAATGAAGAGACTGCACATAAACCGTATGCGAGGGGTTAAATATGTGCATATCAAGATTTAATACGACTATGTGGTGAATGGATTTTAGGGAGAGTACCTCAGATGTAAAAATCCTAATTGCTGCAAAATGCACAAAAACTGCACACAAATTCCAAATGAACTCTACTGAATCTCCTTGAAGATACCATCTTTGCAATGTCAACTGTCAACGCAAACAAAATGCAGTTGTAGCTTAGTCCATTTATGCGACACAAGCAAAACATGGGTATAACAAAAGTGCATTCCTGTAGTGCATGCATCAATCTCACAGAGCCTTCAAAAAGAAAACCACTATGTGCATTATACAGATGTCTTGTTTTTATTTGATTTAACAAACATTGCCTAATCATACACTTGACACTTCTTGTCATTGTCAGAGATGATTGTAAATGTTGTTGCCCAACAAGGTTACACAACTACCTGTGGTTTGTAGGGGATTGAATGGAAATCTAAATGTCTCTCTGTATATACTCTTATCTTTTGTCACTAAGTGAGTGTGGAATTACTTGAAAGAATGTTTAAATCATTTGTAAACTTTAATGTTGTCGATTGTGTTTTTATAGTCAAGCATTGTTATAGCAATACTTTGTGAAAAATGTTCTTTAAATAAACAAATTATTGAGATTAAGCTTGTATCAAATGTCTTTTATATCTGCAAGTCCCTTGTATTTAAAAAACTGACAAATTATACTATTTTCATATGAAAAATATATACAAATGATAACAAAATATGCCATTTATTGAAGCACATTCATTGCTTCCCCAAACAACCTTTGAAATCTTTATTACATTGCACTGAACCTTTAACAACAGATATTTCTCTTAGAAAATGTTGTGATATAACCTTAATATCTCATTATCCTGCATCAGGCAACATGCGTGCACCTGCCACATTATTTACCGTAAGTTGTCTAGCCACAGAAACGGACGTCATGCCATGGACCGTTGTGCCTCCGCGGTTTCCCTTTGTGGGATGGCTAACATTTCGACACAGAGAGGACAGAGACGCGGAGCGCAGAGATAGTATCAGTGTTTGGGGCTGCCAGGGCCTTCCTGTGGCTGTGATGGCAGGGAAGGGACACAGAGATAGGAGATGCAGAGGATGGGGTGGGGGCAACCAGCCAGACATTTGGCTTTTTTTCTTTAAATCTTATAGTCCAAATAGTTGGTTAATCTATTTTCAACACTATTAGATAACAGCATGCGAATCCTTTGCATTTACCAAGATTTATGACCACATGACCTATCATTCTTTCTGTAATAATACAAAGAAAGAAGCTCACACTCAGTTTCATTTACAAAAATGAAAACTTGTCATTTGTTATCATTGAAGTGATTTTACTCAAATACAATACTTTTTTGATGCTACTTTGTACTTGTACTCCACCACATTTATTGCACTCTTGATCCCATTACATTTGTTTCACAGCTTAATTTGCTATTGACTTTAAGATCAACATTTATATTTAGAAATGTTTATTATCTTTGTTGTCATCATCACCAAACTGAACAGATAATAATGACATACTTCAATCCGCCCACACTGTTAACTGTGCCGGTTTATTAATCCAAAACGTACTTAAACTAATCACATACAGTCCACGAGTGTTTCATTACTATTTATAACACAGTGCAGATCTGCATGGACAATCAGTATCATTAAAAGTGCAAGCTAAAAACAATGATTGCTCAAAAGCATTTGAAAATACCACTAAAAGAAGAAAAAGTTGGACTTAATTTCCATATGAGTGGACCTCAAATCTGCTGTATATAAGTCTGATCATAATTGTCATGATAGGAAGACAGCATAGGGTAGATGGAGCATTATTTTTTAGAGTGGTGGTTGCATGTTATCATTGGATAGAGCACTATACTGCCAAATATTTGATTATGTATTCATTTTTGTTATTATAAAGAGTTAAGAACATTTACAGAGGACATGTGTAGAGCAGCACACAATGACTTCTTGTGTGTCCGTGTCTGTTGAAATGTCCCGCAGAGTCGTGTGGGGTAATCTGTGGTCCCAGGACTGCAACATCTCCACAGAGTGAAGAAAGACCGTATTTCACCTAATCCCTACCGCGTTACTCAACAGCAGCAGCCCATATGAACCCCACCACAACCCCAGAGAAGAGCTCCAATCTCACTGCTCCTGTCCATTAAAGGTTTTTTATTGCAGCAGATAAGAAAGTAATCAGAATTTTCTCCACAGAAACTGAATATATTAACGTACAAGCTGCACAATATTCAGTCCTAATATGCAAACAAATTCTTTACCTCTGTTTCAGCACTTCCGCTGTACAGCTCTGCGGTCAGATGCCTGGCGTTCTCAGCTTCAGGTTCCAACCACATCTCCAAAAAACTTTCCAGCGATGGTAACAACATAATCAAATAAAAAGAAAGAATCCTGCAATGACAGAGTTTGCAGTAAACATGGGTGCATTATTAGACAATTGGCCACTTGGGCGCTGATATGGAAAAGGCCCTTTGCTACACATAAGCAAGAGACACTGACTTTATAGTAATGTAGCCTTTTTTTGTTTTTGTCTTGTGTCTCTTTGTAGTCAACGTGAGACTATTTGTAGTCATTTTGAGTTATAGTTGTAGGTCTTTAAGTGGTTGTTTTACCCCTTTTCATAGTTGTTTGTGATATTTATTTGTGGCATTGCAGCATTTTTGAGTGTTTTTGTAGTTGTTTTGGTCTCTTTAAAGTATCTTTGTCTCTTCCCAGTCCTTTTACATTTATTCGTGGTCATTTTGAGTCTCTTCCTGGTCAGTATGTGTCTCTTTGAGTGACATGTTCTAGGTGAAGGCCCTATACACTTTGGGCCCCTGGGTCTGTGCCAGTTCAGTAACCCATCCATGAGTGTACAGGGCTATGTTTGTCCCATCGAGGGTAATTTAGCTACTTTTAAACCTTGGCCCTTTTTATTTTTTGCAAGAATCTTTTAAATTATCAATTTTTAGACTCATGATGACCAGATCTACAGCAATGTGTGTGTTGTCTGATATAATCAAAGCCTTACACTATTGGCTGCTGCAACACGAGTGAAACAAACTGGCGTAGTGCCATCAAGTGTAGCTTAGCGGTCATTACCAAATGGTTGGCTCACACCAGCGGTCATGTCTTTGTTCATGAAATAGGATGTTATTACTGTAAATTCAAGGACCATCAATAATATCTCAAACTATAGAGAACAAACGTGACATTTCTCACCTATAAGAATGACTTTTTGATAATTTCATTTCATGAGAAAGATCGAACCCATATCAGCCTGGACCATGGAGGTGAGGTGTCTCTGGTGTTGGTCTGTGATTTATGGCTCCACCATGCGGCAGGAGCATACAAGTAGGCCTTCTGCAAAGATATTTTATAAACAACAGATATCTCACTCAACCCATGCATCTGTGTACTTCTTCTGCTATCCAAATACAATCCCAATGTTTGATGTTTATTCTTAGACTGGTGCAAAAATCTCGAGTTAGTGTCTATAGCTAATATAGGTGTACACACAATTATTATTGCAAATACTAACACTTTTGAATTGTATCAAGAGCGGTTCTGTGTTTTTGTCATGCGATTTGTTTTAAACTAAATTAAAAAAAAGCCATACAGACAAGGGTGGCCTCTCTAAATATTCATATGAAATAAGAGGAGAGTTAGCTGAATGTACATGGTGGTTTGGTTAGAGTATGTAATACCTAAAATAAGTAATTCTGCATGTTATCCTTTTTTACCTAAGTCTGTTATAATATAGCACTCAGACTCTTTTTTGTTTTATGGCTTTTTTATCATAAGAATGTAGTTAAATGTTTCCCTGTTTTAATGCATTGCTTTAAATAAATTTGTATACCATCAGAGACGAAAATGGTCAGGGACTTACATTGACCATTTTGATCTCGATGGTCAATAAATACATGAACAAAGGAAGCAGGATTTGTTGCCGAGTGAAACACCAGCTAATAATAAAGGATCTTCGGCAGCAGGGAGACGAGGCGACGTCGCTCTGCCGGTTTTAGCCGAGTGGGGTCGAAGTTTCCCGCCAGCTGCTGGTCTCTATAAACAGGCTTCTCCCAATGCAGCTCTCCACCCGCTCTTTGTCCGCGACCGGCTGACCAACGACACGTTCCCCTTTAAGATGATGTCGGAAACAATTATGCCTTATTTAATTATTTTCTGTAATCTCGGCAGGCAGAACAAATGGACTAAGCAGCAGCGTTGAAAAGCAGCGACGTTGAGAGAGCAGTAGCATCATCTCATGTGAAAGTGGCTAACAGGAGTCCGGTGTCCTTGCGTGTGTCAAAGGCAGCAGCGGTGCTTATTGGAGGCTACGACACTTCTCCGGGACGGACATGTATTTCCATATAACAGACAAGGCAGAGGAGACTCGGTGAATGCGGTGAAAGTACTCCCCCTTTACCCCGCAATGTGTTGGACGCTTGGAAGAGACCACTGACAGTAGCATTTTGGCTCACATTTGACAACACTTCAAAGGGGGTAAGTAACAGTATGCGTCTGTTCTTAAACCACGCAGTCACTGCATGTGTTTGGAGCAGGTGTTAGTCTTTATCAAAGCTGGTTCGAGTCCCCTCCACTCCTTACAATTTTCATTTAATTCTCCTCACACTGCCGCTGTCTCTTTATTGTTAGTAGCTACTTCACAGAGGCCAGCCAGCCCCTGGGTGTTAATTCCCCCCACGTCCCTTGTCACCCCCTCGTGTAAAAGCTCTTATGTAACCCATTGGGATTCCTTTTTTTTTTTTTTTTGTGGAAAGACTTCCTGGCCCTGTGCAAGGCAACAACACTGGCTGATAGAGGAGCTCCATGTGCACCGACAGAGGAAAGCACAGGCTGTTCACATTCCTGCCCTCAACCGGGAACACTGCTGTAATACAGAGAGGGAAGGGCTCCCTCTTCCCTGAAAACACCCATCACTTCAGGGGTTTTCTCTAACCACAAACCTTTTTAACTATACATGTCCATTTCTGTCTCTTCATGTTCCCATAAAGGCTACTGACTGTTATAGCAACACTTGTCAGCACAAATCAACTTTGATTTCTTAACAAGCATAAAACCAATAGCTAGAGTTTTAGAAGCATAAAACACCACTGGGTCTGAAATAGGGCTACAGCAAACATTACATGTATTTAAACATAATTTTTTTTGGCCTACAAATCATAATTTATCATCTGAGCTCTTCTATCTATTCTGAAATTGGGTCACATGTTCCAGTGGTTACATGAGAAGTGTCCAGGTATGATCTCATAACCCCAGTGGTAAATGTACTCTCTGTGGATGGAGAGAATTGGATTAAATAAACAACCTCCTCCTGTGTGGTACAGTGTGCTTCTGTTCAGTAGAAAAGTGTGGACAAATATTTGCTCAGTGTTTAAAATAGTGTAGTCTCACTGTGAAAGGACCCAGTGTGTCCCCTCTTACTCTGCAAGTGTGGGCCAAAATGCTGCGTTCCTGTGAACTTTCACATCAGTGTCACTCCTCAAGTGACGTGCAACACGTGGTCCAGCAGACACATGGGTGGTACACACCCTAGCATCTTAGTAATGCCATAATGTCAAATAAATAATCAGATTTTAAATACTGTAAGTAAGCATGATACCGGGACACTATGGAAGTAGCTAAATGGAATTCAGCCATCATTAATTTACTATTTTTTTGTAGCTTTTTACTACGTTTTGAATGTTTTTTGTAATCTTGTTAAATATTCTGTTTAAACTATAAAATAATCCTGTGTTCTTCTTCTTTCCACAGTTTTCCACGTCTCTACCTGGGAACCAACTGTGGTCACAACATCCTCCCTGTTAAACACCAACGATGACTTCCCCAGACTCTCCCCCTCTTGTCTCCCCATCCCCATGCCCTGCTCCCCCTCCATCCCTCCCCTCCTCCCTGTTCCTTCCTCCCCAGCCCCGTCTTCCTCCTCCCTCCCCCCCCCGCCCTCCCTGCCTCCCACGGGTGAGGTGATGGTGCTGGCTCTGGGCAGGAAGAAGCAGCGAGTCCTGATAGCTCTCTCCATCCTGCCCAACCTCTTCCTGGCCTTCCTGCTGTCTTCCGACCCCCTCATCACCCTCTCCTCGCCCCACCACTGCCACCTGCCGGGGCCCTTACCGTCTCCCGAGGTGCTGAACGCCTCCCTGCCCTGGGAGAAAGGGGGGAGACCTGGGGAGAGCGGGGGCCTGTCTCACTGTAAGCAGTACCTCAACGGCAGCCAGTCAGCGGTGGTGGACTGCGAGGTCGGATGGGACTACAACGTCACGGAAGGACTGAGGAACAACATTGTTACTGAGGTAAGCTCCTAAACCCTCTCATTACAATCCTAGCATAGTTTATTGTTTTGCCTTTCTGTGGGGGGGCTAACATTTCATTTATGTATGAACTAAGGTCTTTAAAATGCTGAAACGGTAGTTATCCACAGGAGGGTCTTGCTGAGCATGCAGCTTCCTTTTTTGCAATACCCTGCTAAATTTAAGCTGCACATTTTTCGGATTAGTCGGACAAAAAGTCTTATGCTGGTGGTTTGTACAGTAGATCCTTGAGCCTTTAATTGCTTTTGTAAGGTTTGTATGGGGACATGAGTTGTTGTGAAAACTCTTTCCTTAAAAAAAGGCCAATGTAAGAGATTTGGGAGATCCCTGATGCCATTTCCCTAAACAAAGCTGCTGTTTGCTTCAAGAACTGATGTGCGTAGTACCTGCGTGTGAGGTAGTCAGACTGTTGTCAGAAATGAATCCCAGGACAGGATGATGCTGTTGTTCCAAACACATCCCTGCTACACAACATAATTACACATGATTGGTCAGCTTCTCACCTCTGCTTGAGACTCGCTACATTAGCTGCTAATCGGAAAACACCTGAGTATCTGACTAACCTTTTAGCACCTTTCGAGAAAGTTGTGAAACCACGTTGAAGAATGCCCGGTGACTCATTCAGATATGTTTGTTTTCATCTACGTCACTGTGTCAAACTGAAAAGGCCATGAGAGATAGATTTGACAGATTTCTGAAGTTTTTCTTTAATATTTTACTAAGACAGACCAATTCCTTCTCATAACCAGTTAACCATTGAGAGTATGGAAAGAAAGAAAGTGTATTTAAAGTGGACCTATTATGCTATATTGGAAAAATATATTGTAGGGCCATACCTATACAAAACATGTCTGTGAAGTTATTTGCTTAAAATACCAAACGGATCACCCATTGTAGCCATGCTTCATACTGCTCATACCCCTCTTTTGCAGCCCTGTTAGGCCCAATCCCAAACCACGCCCTACACCCTACCCCTACACACTACCCCTCCGTTTGCGCGTTCGTGCGGAGGGTCCGCCACTTTAAGTGCTGTTCCAAACCAACGAGTGTGGAGCGGTGTGGAGGGGGAGTGGGCTATCAAGCCCTCAAACAGCGAGTCTGCATCGGTGCTGACTTGAGACCGGTCTCTACCTGACCGGAGTCACGCTGTGTGTGTCCGTCAGGAAACGCGCTGTTTACAAGTAGTTCCAGCAAACATCCACTGATAAACTGCGATGTTAACAGCCTCATGATAACCTCATATGTTTTTAACTTAGGATCATACCTGTGTTTAGTCTAGAAAAAGGTAAATGTGTGCATTTTATTATAAAGTTGTGTATATTTACAGACTGTTGCAAAAACTAAGAAGCTTATAAACATCAGGTTTAAAACTAAAAGAGCTTTACAAAAAAGTAACACAATCAAAGATGTTTGGAGTTTTATTTTAGTTATTATTTTATTTTAATTTTTTGTTGTTGCATACAGTTACGGCATTTCCTGTTTCTGCCGGAGAGAGAGTTTGTCCCAAAGCTTGCCGCTGTATTTACTCCCTCCATCTGACAGGAGGGAGCCTCGTTGAGTGTGTAGGGGTAGGGTGTAGGGCGTGGTTTGGGATTGGGCCTTAGAGAAACGCGGATCTTGGGTCCTTAGCTTGAAAAAAAAATAATTAGGAGGCGAAGATAATGCCTGATCAGAATTATAGATAAAGTTCAATTCTGCTGTGATAAAACGCCATCCTGTTCTAAACCACATCAAGGATTATTTCTGAAACAGTATGGAGCTCAAATGCTTTTTCTCTTGCGGGTTTATCACAAGGTGAGTTCCTTTTTTAAATGTCCTTCTTTTTAAACACATGTGCTCTCCAGCACAGGTTAGCTCTGAGTGTTAGCGAGGCTTGCTAATGTAAACAAAGACGAGATTACGTCCAAAACACGTCAGGCATTGTTTCTGATAGCAACTTTCTGTGGGTCCGCTGCCGATTTGACGTCATATCGGCAGCAAATCTGTATCCGCTCGTTGTACCCCCGTTTTAAAAAGATTTGGGTACGGAGGAAAAGAGAGAGGGTTTTATTTTCTGACGCTGCGTGAGTTCCCCGACGCACCGGGGACACATATTATTTATATATAAAAGACATCAAAAGTGCATTTTGCATGATAGGTCTCCTTTAAATGAATGAACACCAAGGTTGATCTTAATCTTAAAGGTCATGCTTCGGAATATGATTTGCATCAGTTTTTTACTTTATAAACCAAAACATATACAAATATTAAAAAAGATTGGTACACAGAAATGTCTCGCTTGTGGCCATACTTTTGCTTCTTTGAAATGTAACTTAGTTGTCTTATTCAAACAGCAGAACCATGTTGAAGATAAGCTACAGTGGAAGAGTAAATATTTGTTACAACTCATGACAGCTTTGAATCACAGAAACACAGACATTTTCTACAGGTTAGAATGATAACCCTGTATCAACAATTGTATATCGTATAATCATTATAGATTTAGGTCTGATTTTCACATTCTTAGCTGTTGATGAAAGCTTGCTCATGCTGTTTAAATTAATAAAAGAAACCAGCTTCTGTGTACATGTATTATAATTATCCTTACATGTAGACAATGTTATAAACACAGCAAGTACATTCTGTGTTGATGCATTAAAGTGTCACTTTGTACACTGCTTGTTTAACTTGCAATGGATGGGAGTAAACATGCATTTACCCCATAGCTTTATTCAATAGCAGAACCCGACTTACTCTTGTTAATGTCTTCAACAGAGTCACTGGGGCAGGTCACAGAGTGGAAACTGTGTGTCTGTTTATATTTCTGGTGCCTTCTGATGTGGGAACCACACCCAGGCCTATAGTCCGTGGTATTAGGGCAGTTTGCTGGTAATCCACCCACAGCACTGCAGCAAGCTGAGGAGACGTAAACACTGCCAAGGGAGGCATTGAGCAGGAGAAAGTGTGCACATGCATTCTTATAGACGCATGGAAAATAACAAGCTTAAAGTCTCGTCCTCCCCTTGTATTACATACTGAGCGGGACATGGACACTGTTCTATTTTGTCTCTTAAATCAGGGTTAGTTCATAAAGTATTTCTGCTGTCATGATGATCTGTTCCTCCGTGCTGAGCTGCCAGTCTCTGAGCAGGAAGCAGGAGGCGCTCTGATCAGCTGCTCCTCCACCACAATCAATACATACTGTGTCACTGAACGAGAGGCATCTCCACTCAACATCCCCGTGCTGGATCCACGGCTAATGCACAGACACTTCCTGTCATCGTTACGGTTCGGAAGAATGATGATAATGTTCCCTGAGGTTATTAATATGTCAACCCTCAATAGCTTCATCTTTGATATTTCTTGGTGTTATATTCCCATTTGGAATAATTGAGCAAATCAATAAGCGGGACTCCATTAATGGCAGCGTTTTTAATGGAAAACTCATATATCAGGTTTAACACAACTCCTTCTCAATTGATTTTTTTCCAATACATTTACTATATTATATTCAGAATTTTTTATTGGAATCCCAGAAGGTGCATTATTTAGTTAAAGGTATAATATTTATCAAACTATTCTGATTTAAAGGTGGGGTAGGTAAGTTTGAGAAACCGGCTCGAGATCGCTAGAATTTGAAAATACACAACCGGAGAAAATCTGCCACTTCCTTACAGAGCCCCTCCTCCAACACACACAAACGCGCACATGACCAATGAGGGCACGAGATAAGTTTGTGCACAGATGGAAGGCTGACAGGCAGGTAGGCCATCCAGTTATTTTAGCCGGGCCGGCTAAAATGATTGGTCGTATTTTTTTACAGTATTACGGCTTCCACAGATGACATTTTTTAATGGATTTTTTGTCAAAGCACTTAAGATATTCATTGCTATCGGGATGTTAAGAGCATTCCATGGAATATAACAAAAAGTGTATCTCGAGCCGGTTTCTCAAACTTACCTACCCCACCTTTAAGTATTGTTTTTTGCCGAAATTTCCAAACCTAAAAATGTTATTACGCAGTTTTAAAGAAAGACATCTGTTATATAATATTACTTTTAGAATAATAGTTCAAAACATTCCCTTTTTATATAATAACAATCAGATGGGTTTTGCAAAGTGTTAAGTCCTAAAAGCAAAGCAAAATGATATAATCATAAGATTTGTCTTGGTCTAAAGCTAAACAGTTATACTAAAGAGGCTTTAACGTTTTGATAAAAATCTGTTCTTGTCCAGAGTCTGACTAATGCTAAATTGAGTGGAAAAGTACAACCAAACATGAGTTGGCAAAGTCTCAGTTGAGCTTATCTCCCAGCCAAGGCGAGGCCCAGTGAGAAATGTTAAAGGTTGACTTGGTTGCAGGTTTCCTCCCAGAGCATCGCTGCGTGATGGTGCCTGAGCGTCATCTGTAGAACCAGTCTGAGGAGCTCACCAACCTGTTTGTTTGCATTTCACCTCCTCCTGTTGTCCCCAGCAGTCCTCCCTGTGAGCACAAAGCTTTGTTTTGCTGCCCTTTACCCGCCCGGTGTGCACTGTAGTGGCTCCCAGCCTCAGCAGTACGACCACTGATATTATGTGACAGGCTTTTATGTTTCTGTGCACGGGCTCCAATTATGTAAGGCCTTTTTACGACCAGCCCTCTGCTCCCCTCTCTGCATCATTAAAATCATTTTGCTCTCCGTGGATGCAGACATTAGCAGAGCTCAGCTGTTAATGCAAATCAGTGAGTCGGCTTAATGTGATTAAAACTTTGAGTTTTCTGACTTCAAATGTAGAAGCAGTACATGTACAGTCACACAGTTAATGCATGTGGCACTACTATTACTACTGCCAGTACTACTATTAATTATAGTAAGTAAGTAATACCATTTTCTGAATACAAAGTAATATTTTAGTTAAGTATTCCTTTGTTATAGTTTTACTTTTACTGCATTATTCTCTCAGCCTTTTGTAATTTAAGTGTACACTTAAATAAATATTTAACAAAACAAAGCTGAATAAGTGTTATTTGTAATTCTCTTGTTCTATCTCTGTGAAGTTATTGAATAATAATAACTTATTATGTTGATTAAATTAAAGCCTTGAGCTGTGCTGCCTTTTGAATCTAAGTAATTCATGAAGTTGATTTGATTTGCCAAAGGCATATTTCTTCATGAGTAATTCAAGCTAACAATAAATGTGAATGCTCAGTGGTGTTATACATTTTGTCTTAAGGCTATAAAAGATGCAGATAGGAAGGCGACGCATTAAAAACTCTCTTTGTGAGAAAAGAGCTTCTACTTGTCTTTGTGTTTTCTTCAGAACTCATACACCACAGTATCTTTGCAGTCATCTTTTGAGGTGGAAGGTTCTGTGATTTTTATATTTTTGATCTTCGAAACACTTTTGGTTTACAGTTTTAATACTTCATCAAAAGTGTGGATAATTCAATGAGTTACGGTCATTCAGTTATACTTTCTCAATCAATGATTTGCTTTTTTTCTGTTTTCTGTCATTGTAACAGACAAACATTGGTTTTGGACCTCACCTTGCACCTTTGTCCTTACTCTTTACACTCAATACATTTCTGATAAGTACAAATCAGTAATGTTAGTATAATTCCCATGTTTTGTAAGGCAAATAATATGCGCGGTGATGTTTTCCTCATGACTTGAAGTTCTCTAACATGTATGCTGTTGTGCTAACCTGAGCAGATAATCTTTAACAGATCTGTCTCCTGTGTGTGTGTGTGTGTGTGTGTGCTGTCCAGTGGGATCTGGTGTGTGGTCAGTACTGGCTGGTCCCAGTGGAGGAGGTGTGCTGCATCCTGGGCATCCTGACCGGCTGTCTGGGCCTGGGCTATGCCGCTGACAGGTAACACACACACACACACACACACACACACACACACACACACACACACACACACACACACACACACACACACACACACACACACAGCTCGTTCTGCAGACATCTGTGCTTTTAAATCACTTCCTTAATCTATAGTCTCATGTCTTTATGTTGCAGTTTCACGCACGCATGCACACACACACACACTACAAAGTCCAGTCTGCAGATGGTATCCTGCAGATGAAAGCAAGATAGCTTTAGTACCAAGAAGCCCAGATGTCATTTTCTAAAGCCGCTTCCATCTATTATAAGACATACATTTGTGCAAGATGAACTACAGAATGTATCTCAATCACGATTTACTACACATAAGCATGAGTTAGGGCCTTTTATGAAAGTGAAATGCATTATAATGCTCGCTTTTAAGGCATAGTGCACGGCTGTCTGCATTAGGCACAGCCTCTGATAATTGTCATAATGGCTCCAACCTGTGCCTGCTGTGTTGTCAGATTGGAAATGGAAGAGGGGAAGCAGTCGTTTTTAGGGGGAATTGTGAGGGAGATGATGCCAGTTTAATCAGCTAACAGCCTTCATCTATTTGCTGACCAATTGAGCCTAGTGTCTGTTTGTTAAGACTGGTGAATTAATGCTGCCTCCTGGTACAAAGGAGAACAGGGGGCAGTGCTAATCTGCAGGCTGGATACAAAGTGCTGCACCTGCATGGCAAAATGGTTAATCATCACATTTACTTATCAGCAAGTGAGCTGAGGTGAAAAATGCCTTTTTATTTTCTTGTGATCGCAACATCTCTTTTGCTAAGTTTTAGGTAATATCACATTTAAGGTTGTCTGCAGGTTTTTCATCTTAGGCTTTAAATCCGGCCTTAAAATTGTATTTAGTAAAAAATGATAGGCTATCCATTTATATACATAAATTCAGGAATGTGGTAGAAAGGCTAATGGTTCAGTTCTAACTGTGTTTCTCCATTTTATCTTATCTAATTTATTCACAGTAGACTGTTGTCCTATTTTCTGTTCTCCACGCTCTTGCTGTTAATATTTATTTTATGTGAAGTGTTTTTGCTCTTGCATAATCAGGACTTACAAGATCATTTTTTGCTGTTGCAAGTCTCGGTTTAAATGTTTTTACCTTGATTTGGATTTAACTGTCTTTGTTAATCGTTTTTGTTTTATGCTAATTACTTAATAGATTTGTGAAAATATAAATCAACAATATGCCAATTTCATTAATGAATAAGTTGTAGATGTTTTTGTTTAAAAATGTGTGTCCTTTCCCTGCAGGCTGGGCCGGTCTAAGACTCTGCTGGCCTCTCTGACCCTGTCGGTGGTGTTCGGGGTGCTGGTGTGTGTCGCTCCGAGCCCCCCCATCTTCATCGTCATGCGTTTCTGTTTGGCGGCAGCTAGTGCTGGAGTCTACCTCATTCTGTACATCACACGTGAGTATTTCAACATTTAAAGCACAGAGTTTGTTTTAGTGTAAATGTACAAACAAGCAAGATTAAAAGTATGTCATTAGTTGAGAAAAAGGCTATATAGCTTTCCATCTACAGCTATGTTGTTATGATGAACCCAAATGAGTCAGTAATGATGTTGTGTGTGTGTGCCCTTCAGGTCTGGAGCTGTGTGAGCCGTCTATCAGGCTGCTGGTTACCATGCTGGCCGGGCTGATGACTGTTGCTGGAGAGCTGCTGCTGCTGGCCGTGGCTCTGGGCTGCCAGTCCTGGAGGGGCCTGCTGGGGGCCGGCGCCGCCCCCCTCACACTCTTCCTCAGTTACGGGTACGAGCAGTTGCTTATCTGTTTGAAAAAATATCCATGTAGGATTATTTGTTTGTAAGCTTCCTGTGAAATGTTCAGTTTTAGCTCTTGTATTCCATCCAGTACGTAATCAGTACTTTCATATTTAGATTTTCCTCTTTTCTGTGTACTTGTATATGGACACATGTTTTATTTGACTGTGAAACTGAGGGGACAGGAGAGTGAAGGAACCTGATAGTCTTTTGATAAAGTGTCCTGATGCCAGCTGTCTGGCTGAACGCTCTGTAGGATCGTATTGATTCCAATGCCCTCGTCACACTGAAGCTTTCAGTTCATGTCAGAATGCATTAGGACCACTTGGTATGGTCCCCGGTCCCTCTAGGACTTCTGTAACAAGATTAGCCTCCATTGCCGTTTCAAAGCAAAATTAATAAAGATTAAAGTATGATTTTACTAGCAGTGGATTGCAGGTTTAGAAATAAAGCTGGAGGAATTCTGTTAATGTGCGACCTACATTTGTTTTTCATGGAGCAAGACGCACATTTGGGTTATAAGTGCTGGTGAAAGGTCAGCAAAGATCAAAGACTGAGCCGAACATATGTTTTGTCTCTTCCGCAGCATTCCTGGGGTGTTCCCTGAGTCCCCTCGCTGGCTCCTTCTGTCAGAGAGATCTGCAGACATGAACTCCTTCACTGAGAGGAGGAACTCCAACAGGGACCTGAGGGATGACGAGAGCTTCACAGGTGTGTTTGTGTGTTTGTGTGTGCAGAGAGTTTAGATTCTTACTGTCCTCCACAAAAAGAGAGCAGCTTACATTTTCCTGCCTCAATGCTGGGTTTAGTTTATGAAGTCTGCATTATTTATGGGTTACTTGATGCAGTGCATTTCAAAACATGATAACCCACACATCACTACCCCGAGCAGGTAATGATGCTCAATTATAATTCATGATTTATTAAAGAGCCATGGAATTAGAATAAGGCATGATGCCGTGCATAGACAATGATATGGTGGATATCCACTGTGCCGCTATAAGATACATTTGGTGACATTGATTTGACTCCTTCATTTGTTGGGGCTCCCCATAGATCACACTGCTATATAAGTAGAAATAATGACAATAGATGCAAAAGTACCTATTTTTTTTAAATATATTTAAAATACTTGTTGTATTATTTCAAAACCATACAATAATTTATAAAAACTATAACCTATAATCAACAATGCTGTGCTCAATGTAACACTTTCATCCCCGCACACTAATCTAAATATGTATTACTCTGCATATTGTAAAAATCAGTCAATACATCCATGCATTTCCAAAGGTCGCCTATTGCTGAAACTCCGAACAAAGTCTATTCTTGAAATCTCGTATAAATATTTTTTTATTGCAGAAATATTACGATATTGGTTAACATCAAGTGTTACCATAGCATACATGTTCATTCTCTGGCTATTGAACAAACTCTATTTGACAAATAGACATTGGAACATTGATTAACTCATGTCCTCTTGTACATGTTACTTAGACATAAATAAACACGGACAGTGGGCTATTGATTAAAAGAGAATCCAGGTCAGGTCATCATTCTCTGTCTGTTGTTGTAAATTACTCCTGTTTTAATGCTGCAGAGCTGGACTCAGAGCCGGCCCCCTCCTCACGCCCCCACCTGTCCTACCCCGAGCTCTTCCACAGCAGGAACATCTGGAAGAACATGTGTGTGCTGGGCTTCACCTCGTAAGTCATCCCACACTCGTGACAGTAATTTAGCACCTCTGCAGTTTCCACTTTAGTTTGCGCTGCACTTTTATTAACAGGAACTGGTTGCTGCTGCAGTCTCATGTTTCATCCTCATAGTGTCTTGACTGATTATTACCACTTTTCTAAAAAAGAACTTCTCATGAACAATGACTGCTTACTCTTTGTTTCTCCTTCCTTCCTCCTTCAGTTTCATCTCTCACGGCATCAGTCACTGCTACAGCTCTTTCCGTGGAGACGTCAGAGGCACAGCCCCCAGCTTCTACTGGACGTACCTGCTGTCGGTGTGCGCGGGGGGCGGGGCCTGGCTGCTGCTCTGGGCCACGGTAGACAGGTTCGGTCGCCGCGGCATCCTGCTCCTCGCCATGACAATGACGGGGCTGGCCTCTTTGATCCTCCTGGGACTCATGGAGTGTAAGCAGGCTTTAGTTGCAGGATATTGTTTTTGCCAAGTAAACCTGGAGAGGGATGAAGAAATCTATTAATAGTCTTTACGACACCATGATACTTAACTGTCATTTTTCTTGCATCACAGCAGCTCAAGGACAAATATTTAAGGAAGCAACAAGGGAACATATTTTTTCTACAATGGCTCGTATTTAATTTCAGGATTGACTGGTGCACAAAAGAGTGTCCAGTCTATCCTGGGACTCACTTATGTGATGCTAACAATTCATACTAGCTGTTCAGGAGATGATAAGGGTGACACATTGACTCACAAGTCACCTCTGTTGTTGTAGAGACATTATGTGAGGCTTGTATGAGGATGACATGTTTTACTTCCTCTAATCCTAACTGGAATGAAGGTAAAAGTTAGCTTAATAGATGCTTAACCACCATAGTTATGTGTTAAGTTAATCATGCATTATGAAATGGATCCAAAGCAAACCGGTCTGTTCATGGAAAATTATGTTCCAGGTGCCTTTGTCTTTCCCCAGCATGATGTCCAAACACTCACACAGTTGCCTGAGTCTCAGTCTCCTCCTTGTGGCTGAACATGAGTATGACACCCCGTTTATGTAGGACACTGCAGTGGCAGCAATGTCAAAGCTGTGTCAGGTGCTGAGCTTTAATCATGCATCAAAGGCAGGGGGGGGGGGGGGGGGGCGAAGCACTGGGTGGTGGTGTGTTTCAGGTCACCTCTTTTCACTGCTTTCTGTGTCTACTGTTAATTACAGTAGTCTGGAAGCTGTAGAGAAATGACTCAGAGTACTACATCACTTCAAATCAACAGGGCAGCATGATATATCTTCAGAAAGGCTGCGGTTCATTAAGGTAGTCCACAGTAACTGATGCTTGTCCCTCCTCCTCCCTTTAGATCTCAGTGAGACGGCCATCACAGTCTTCTCAGTGCTGGGTCTCTTCTCCTCCCAGGCCACCGCCTCCCTCTGCATCCTCTTCACTGCAGAGATCATGCCCACCGTCATCAGGTAACGCATCAACACTGATTTTAAAAGCTACAACTCTCCTCGTTATTATGTTTTGTACAAATATATTGAGATGTGGAAAATGAGCCTGCTCAGCTGCTGAAATGAAGGACATGAAAAATGCAGTACATTTCCATCATTGTATCTATAAGTAATGAAGAGACGCTTTTAGATATCTGAGAAATGTCTTCATTGACAGGGGTCACTGAACATTTCTGACAGCTTAGCTAATCATCTTTTGGAACTGAAGGAAACGCCTGATGGGGGGGGTTTATGGTAGTTTACTCTGTAAAACCTGATATTTCTTAAACACATTTTATTAAGCCATACTTGAATAGTTCAATATGCATATTTGAAAATCGATATCCTTCTTATGTCTGTCTGCCAAATATGAGGTTACAGCTAGGATGTGGTTAGCTTAGCATAAAACAGAGGAAACGGCTAGCCTAGCGTTGTCCAAAGGTAAAGACATGCTTAAACTCAAGTTTTGAATGGTCTAAACAAACAAGAATAATCAGCTTCATATTTATAGAACAACATCTAACTGTTAGTAATCGTAAACAAGTGCATTTCCAAAAATATGGTTAGGCAAAAAAAAATAGTTTAGGCACTAGAAGAAAACAATCCACTTTTTGTAGTACACCGAACAGCAGCAATACAGAAATGAAAGGAGAGTTATGTCTTTGATAAGTGGAGAGTGAACAAGAAAAATGTAATCATTACATATAGATGTTAACCCTGATGTTGTGTGTGTGTGTGTGTGTGTGTGTGTGTGTGTGTGTGCAGGGGCAGTGGTGTGGGCATAGTGCTGGCTCTGGGCTGCGTGGGCCGCCTCAGCTCCCCGCTCATGGACCTGAGGAACCACTACGGGTACTTCCTGCACCACGTGGTCTACTCCTCCCTGGCCCTGCTGGCCGTGCTGTCCATCCTGCTGCTGCCCGAGAGCAAGAGGAAGCCTCTGCCGCAGACGCTGGGCGACGGGGAGCAGTACCGGCGCCCCCCGCTGGGCAGGAGGAGGAGGGACAACGTGCCGCTGCTAGCCACGCCCAACCCAGAGACCTAAAACACTCCTGAAAAAGAGTAGGATGGATTCAAGTCACCCACTCTGCAGCTAGAACATTCACATCCATCATGCAGAGGAGGAGAGCTGCACAGATGATTGGACAATGAGGGACGGTGATCAGACTCTAAGCTTCCTAACATATCATCCTCAAGTCATTCCAGGCGGTTGGGTCGAGCTGCCATTTCTTCTTCACCATTCTCCTCTTCCTGCCATTCACATGTGTAGATCTAACAGCGACACATGCAGGGAGTCTCCATCCTAATCTCCATGTGCACACCAGCATACACTGCTGCATCTGTGCGTCTGTTGTAGAGATGTTAGCTGCTTGATACGGCACTCCAGACCAGAGGGGGCCCGGAGAGTAGTCGGCAAATTATTCCTAGCATTTGACGTAGAGCGTTTTTTGTCGTGTTTGATGTGTACGACAACAGTAGAAGTGCTCGGAGGTGTGCAAAATCAAAGCAGAGTCAGCTTTGTGTACTTTCCTGTGACACCTGTGGTAAAACTCTCCCATGTGGCACTCCCAACAGGGGTGGGCCGCTGTTCTCCAACATATGTTGTTTGAGTGTTGGTGCCTTGTAAATACTCTAGACCTAGTTTCTTTAACTTGTAGGGCATCTGAGTTACATTAAAGCAGACCCTGTAGCTGGAAACTGTACAGTACGCTGTACAGTGAAGAAGCGGTGCAGAGCACTTTGAGTTTTTATTTTAAAGATGGTGGATAACTTGAGCAAAATCTTCAAATATAAGGGACAGTTGTACGAACCAATCAATTTTGGAATGAGGGTGAATAACTCTCAACAAAAAAGGCCTTAAAACAGAAAAGAGTTCAAACTGTGTAAACCAATTCTTTGGTCTGGCCTGGAGCCAGCAATATTTATGTCTTATTTATGTTGTTATTAATCTTAATCAGTAAATTATCCAGAGGCCTAGCATTTTTAAGTATTAAGCTAAAGATTGTTAAATTGGGTTGGCTGCAAACTGTCACAACATTCCTCTCTGCATGTCCGGGAGCACTGCAGGGCTTTTTTCTGTATTTCCTCAGAAGCTAATAGTTATTTAATACCTCTCTAGATGACCAGCTGTAAAAGAATAGACGGGTATGAACAGTAGAAGTTTAAATATGACTTCTATAACCAGGCACATATATTGTATGTCAGCACTAAAATGTGTACGTTTTGAAAGAGGTCATCGGTTATCTTGCCTGAATGTTTATCGATGCTGGAGAAAGGGCCCGGTGATTATGCTCAATGGGAGCTGAAGAGGGCCCTAGAGCTCCAAATGAACCCCCGACTCCTCAACCACGCACCGAGGAAATACTTTCTCTTATGGCTTTTTTATTTTTGAGTGTGCTGGCTGATGTTGCACATGGTTACATCATGACGGAGAATTACCAAAGCATGGCCATTTTAGTGCTTCACAAAAATATCCCAATGTATGCTTGTGTTCTTGGGTAATTATTTTCCTGGGTGCGTGATTTTTAAGAGGAAGCGGGAGTAATTTGGACTCTGACGTAAAGGATTTACTAAAAGTAATTATGAAGGACACTTTAGCTGATGGCTTCTTCCTCCGTCAGCCTTTCTGTCAATTTTCTTCCCCTCTTTGTATGTTGCACTCGACAAGTCCTAACACGTATACACTGATAATTGTTATCACTATGTTTTACTTGACTCGAGTAGTATTATGTCTGACACCACTGATGACCTGTTAAATGATGAGTGTTATGCAGTTAACTATATAACCTGATTTAATGTAAAAATAAAATTGGTTGAATAAACGAGACATGGACATTTTTTGTACGGGAGTTCTACCAATATGATATGTGTGAAGTTGTGCCACTGTATAAAAACTAATCAACTGACATTATTTCCAGTTCATTAGTCTTGAGTGTGCTCTTTCCCCTGCTTGATCTTGACTCCTCCCACTAGGCACTGATCAGTTGAGCTGTTCCTTCCAGGTGTAAGGGGGCGTGGCCTGGGGAACCAAGGGGAAGGGAATTGTTTTGGAGGGAGTTTTGAGACAGAGAGGAAAGAGGGAAGCCTGGCAGTGAATTAAGAAGAATTGAGCTCTTTAGTATGTATGGTGTTACTTTAATGTACTTAAGGAACATTGAGACAAGTGAACTCTGAGGACAATGAGGACTGATCAGCAAACCCTCCTCTCGGCTGCTGGTGAGTTCCATTTATTTATTTTGGGGTTTTCTTCTTTTTTCAATGCTCTGTTTTCCTGCTGGCCTAACCACTAATGAATGATATAAGAAAAAATATATGGCACAAGCTGATAACTGAAATTATCAGGTGAGTGTAAAAAAAAACAGCAAATGCATCCAAAGGGGCAGGAAGGAAATTCATATTTCAAAAACAGACAGACAACAAGTTACAAGCTCACAGAAACTTTAATAAATGGGAAGGCAATCAATGGAAATGGTCTGGTTTAATCCTGCAGAGCTAACGAGGGTGATTGGAAACAGGTGTGTGGGAAGGTAAGTATGCAGGTCTGAAGAGGAGAGTGGGAACAGGTGTGTAGGTGGGGGGTGTCAGGTCACTGATCACATTAATGAAGTGTGCAAGAAGACGGTACCTTGTGAAACCACAAGATGGAGACGTACAACAGGCTCAATACTTGAGTAAAAGTGTACGAGTACTCGGTTAAAAGTAAAAGTCCTTCAATCAAAATGTTACTCGAGTAAAAGCACAAAAGTATTAGCATTAAAATATACTTAAAGTACTAACTATGCAGGTTGGCCCATTTCAGAATAATATATATGATATGTTTTGAGTATAATTATTGATGCATTAAAGTGTTAAAACAGAAGACTCTGCTTAGGGAATCAATGTAGGATCAGTTGAGTGTAGATTAATTTTCAACAGCTGAACATGTAAAAAAACACATTTTTCAGAATTGATTGGAAAATAAAAGTTGGAAAGTAAGCAGTGGTTGACAAAGGACTCTGATCTCTTATTAAAGCAGCCTATTTGCCAGAAAATAAGGGCCAGTGTGTGTGGTAATTATGGGATCTATGAGCAGACACGGAATAAAATATTCATAACCATGTTTTCAGTAGTGTTAAACACCTGAAACTGAGAAAGTTTTTCCATGTGCAGCGACACAAGTGGCCACTATTTCAAGTATACTACGTCATCGAGTGGCGCCGAAGGACTGTTTAAATGCATGTTAAATGCCCAGCATTCGGCGCCACTCGATGACGTAGTATACTTGAAATAGTGGCTCTGCAGCAGGTATACTCGACATTGAGAAACGGCCAGAGTGACGAGTGCAAGGCAGCTGAGAATGACCCTCTCAACACAGATTGGTATGTTCCACCCTGATAGAAGAACAATGGCCTCAAGGTTAGAGCACGCCTCTCGGAACACGAGGTGCGGATCTGTGAAAGTGAGCAGGGCGAGTTAGGTCGTCTTACTTTCTCCAGTCACATAAGAGCCCATTAACACTAGTGATGGGAATTATGGCTCTTTGAAGGGAGCCGGATCTTATGGCTCCGTTCCTTTCAAAGAGCCGTTCAAAAGAGCCGTTCAAAAGAGCCGTTTTTTGAAGGTTACTAGGTTTATTTGCAAAATAATCACCAGGATAATGATTGACTGTATTGCCAGACCTAATGTCAATAATCGGCATTGTAAACATGACACAAGGTGGCGCCATATCCATGTCATCATGTCAGTGAATGTACTTTGAATTTACCCTCTGTATGTGTTAAGTAAATAAAGTTGCCTTGCCTTGAATGAAATTCATGCAACTCTTAATATTAGATACTGTGTTTTTAAGTGGCGATGGAGATTATTTGTTGATCCTGCTTTAAAGGATATTTTGCCTTTACAAATGGTGCGCTTTATCACTGCCTGGGTTTTGGTTGAAGTGAATCCAAATGCTGCTGCGTTTTCGCGTTTGGCTCATTTTCCATCCGAAAAACACGTTGTCTACCTGTCCTGTTCCACTTGGTATGACTTCTCTCTCTCGTGTATTCCGTTAACACCCACCCCATTTCACTCCTCGTGCTGAAACCATGGATGTATAATAAGAAGGCTGAAACCTACCAAACAGAGTAGGGGCGGATCTTCACAGAATACGTTTGGGGAACAAAATCAAGCTATTTAAAAGGCGAGTGGATTTTGGCAGGCAGTGAGTGCGGACCAACGATTGAACGATAACAAGAACGGCTCTCACCAAGTAGGACTCGGTTCCCCTCGTTCGTACCAAAGAGCCGTTCAAAAGAATCGGCTCGTTCGCGACCGACACATCACTAATTAACACCTTGTAGAGGGGCTGCACACTTTCCCCCGAAAGCATTTGACAGCACACTTGACCTTTACTCGCTGAAGCAATAAATCCAGGACCCCAGCACTGAGCTCAGGACCTTGTTATTTACATTGCGAGTGCTTGTTAGAATTCAGAAGCAGGCTCGAAATGCCATGTGGGAGTTGAATGAATGCAGTCTCTCTTTTTCTACATGAGCAAGTAAAACAAAATGTGCTACTAGTTTTGGATGCCAGACTGTACCCGTACATGCATGGGTCGCCACGAAATGTTGACTAACTTTGTGTTTAATGATCATTTGAAATGGTTAAAAGTTCACCACTACAATGGTGAACACAATATGGTACGCATGATACTTGATAACCTGAGAATTGCAGTTTAGATGTTATGATTGTGCAAACTTAATCACCATTAACTTTATCGGTTCCTTCACCAATATCTTTATTTTTCCAACTTTTTAGGAACCCATTGGAGACAAACAGACAACCCGAACCTAAATCTCCCAACTTCCAAACATCCCTCTCTTCTCGTCCAGTTTCAACCATCATATATCGCTCCTCAGATTGTCCAATAAACGATTAAATCAATCACACAAGGTGTTGCTTTTCAATGAACGAGTATGTGTGAATCAGTTACAAAGAGTGTCAGAAGAACATGTCAGAGGCCAGCTCTTCTACAGCAGCTGAGGACTGACAGGGTTAGTTTGGTGAAAGCTAATTAGACTCCTCAGGGTTAGGGTCTGCGGTGTGGGGCATCAAGTGTTGAAAAGGTCTTGTTATGCTATGCAGAGGTCTTGAGGAGTTAGATGTCATCTCCAATATCTGAGACACGTTTCCACCTTGTAGACGGCTTAACACCTCGCATGGTGCACAAATAGCTGGTTTGATCCTTGTGTTTACTCTGACCACTTGTGAATTCAGACGATTTACAAGTTGAGTCTATGCTGTCCCCTCTCTGCTCCCAAATTGCTGGACATTAAATTCAATTGAAAGAAGATAGCTGCACATGATGTTGGTTGTCAAAAGAGGGCAGTAGATTTGGTTTGTCACCGACATTGATCCATTTCTTATTCACTTTTAAGCGTTTTAATTGGTAAAGAAAATCAACTTTATTTAATTTAATAGCACACACTCACAATAGTAATGTCATTGCTGTGTGGCAAAGGTCAGCGCTTTCACCTGAGCTCAGTAGAAGTAATCCCAAAACAATTTCACAGGTTTATCTTTGTCCTCAAGGGTAAATAGAAGGAAACAAAGTCAGGCCAACAAGAAGGAGTATAGAGTTTCAGTTTGAGGTAGCAGCTAGTGCCAACGTAGGGTGGTGACCTGATCCCAGAACAGCTGCAACTGTCATTGTGTTCTCACTGAACCGTTGTTATGAACTGCACTTAAGAAAAATTAAAGAACGTACAATTATTGATACAAAGGCCATCTGATTGATACAAAGGCCATTATTGTTTTTATGTTTGGCGGATTACTGAACACATCTTTTCTTTTGGTCAATATAGACATAACTGACCACCTCCTAAAGAGGTGACTATATATTGAAGATGCAGAGCTGTTTATAAAAGCTGTTTTATATCTGTTAGGCTGGAGGTGTGTAAGTATGAGAAGGAGCCAGTAAGTGTGAGTCTAAAAGTTTGATACAAAGTGACTCACGGGGCCTTTGCGATCTGCCTCAGTGTGCCAAAGAAGTTTGTAATGGCTTAGTTAATGTCATGTGGTTATCTCTGAGCTCAAGGACAGAAGGAGAGAATGTGCCATAAACACCTCTCAGTATGGGTTGTACTTAAGTGCTTTCACTTTCAGTCTAAAGAGCATCTGAATTGAAGAAATATATCAGCAATTTACTGCTCTTGCACTTATACGGTTTGTTGTATTTTGAGAGGCTTTACACACTTTCTGAAAATGTCTCTTTTAGAGTCTGGTTGTACAAAGTCCCACGCTCTTATGTTTTGTGAATACATGGCTTCAAAGTAAACTATAGTCCAATTATTGACATCATGATTGCTACGTCAACTTTGTATACAGTTTTTGTTCTATACTTGCCAGTCTTTATATTAAGTTATTTGCTTTTGAACATGTGGCACTTGAGGGTGGAATCAATCTGCCTTTTAACTCTTTGAACACAGGCCTTTTTCTTAATTGCCCAATCCGAGATAATGCCATTCGATACAAACTCTATAAATCATAGACTTCTAATCACATAGATGATTACACTACAAAACAATACAAAACCCCCCTATGTCACATACAGTATGTCTGTTAACCACCTGCCATATCTTTATAATTCCCATGTTGACAAACAGACCGGGGGGTCTGCTCATGAAGCCGTGTTGACAGCAGAAGGACAGGCAGCTGGGAATGACAGCCAGCGTGTCCCTTGACGTGCTGAGGGGTGGTCCGCTGGTTGCAGACTTAAGCAACTGTCAAGACCTCCAAGTCTGAAGTTGAAAGTGTTAATCTGTTTAAGTCAAAGTGGCCCCAGTGCTTCTTCAGGAGGTCTTCAGGTGGTCCACTCAATACAAGTCATTGAAGGATCTGCTCTGTTAATGGGACACTTGTTAGAAGCACTTTGTCATTGATAACGTGATAAGGTGTGTGTGGTGGGGGGGTGATAAGTGTACTGTATGACCCTTATATTTAAATACAGTATGGTCACTGAAACCTTTGAGAGCAGGCAGCTGTCATACCCGATCTTTTATTAAAGATGAAGGAAGGTCAGCTGAGGTCCACTGGGAGGCCAAAAAGTCGACCACCGGGAGAAGTAATGCAAGAGAACATTTCACAAGTTTATCTTTATCCTCCAGGATAATAGAAGACAGACAATGGCACAGTCTGGAGACACACAGACAATGCCTATTGTTCTTTAATATACATAACAAAATGTTTGGTGAAGCTATATTGTCATCATTATATCCAAGATATATTTCCCTTGAGGAGCAAACAGGAATAGATCCACATACATGTTTCTGGCAAACAAGTGGTTTAATATAATGAAAAATAACATTAATATATGAATATGTTTTGTAATTTACTGGCTTTTCAGTCACTTCAAGGAGAGAACTGAAATAGATGCTGATCTAAAGTCAGCTCTTACATTTCAATCCACTTGCCAATGGTTACTTGCCAATGTTGTTTTTTTCCACACCTTTTATCTCCAAATACAGAGCTTTCTTTTTTAATTAGAGTCCTTTGTTTTACCGCTCGTCCCTCATTGGTTGGCTGGGTGTTGATGCTCTGCCTCCAGGATGAATATAAAGAGGGGATGAGAAAGAGGGCTAAGCTCGGGGAACTTGTTAACTGCAGGTAAGTACCCAGACAAGTAATGACTAAACTATAATGTCACATATTGAACATACTATGTTCATCTTTCTGTTCTTTCCATCCAGAGACGCATCAATTCAATCAAGGGGAAAAGGAAACAGGTAAACAATCAATGTTGTTAGCTTTTCAAAATAAAATCAATATAGGAAAATTAATACTCTCTAAACCCTCTCTGAATTATTCTAACTTGAAAAAATAAATCAATAAAAACCTAGCATACCACTACCATATTCTTGATTATCATCGTTTATAGTAATTGCAAATACTATTTTCTTATTTTAGGATTTTTTACGAAAATGCGAGATGTTCTGTACAATAATATAGAAATGCATTCAATCACCAAACCTAACTTACAACGCATTTCCTTATAAGTTATACACAGTTTGTATATTATGTTTAACTGCTACAACAGGGACCAAAATAAACAATGTTTTTGGTTCACAGCCTTCAAGATGTCAGCCGACGCCCTTATGGCGGAGTTTGGGGCTGCTGCTTCCTTCCTGAGAAAGTCAGATAGGGAGCGCCTGGAGGCCCAGACCCGACTCTTTGACATGAAGAAGGAGTGTTTTGTGCCCGACCCTGAGGTGGAGTACGTCAAAGCCAAAGTCACTCTAAGAGATGGGAACAAAGTCACAGTTGAAACTGAGTTTGGAAAAGTAAGTATATTGACACTGAGAAACGGCATTGGGAGAATGGTTGTTTCAATGTTAACTAATTACTTTGATGACAATTTGAGTTGAGAGATATTCCCTGTGGTAAATCATTTCAGACTGTAGTCCATAAGGAGGAAGATATTCACCCTCAGAACCCGCCAAAGTTCGATAAAATTGAGGACATGGCGATGTTCACCTTTCTCCATGAACCTGCTGTGCTGTTCAACCTCAAAGAGCGTTACGCAGCATGGATGATCTACGTGAGTCTGACAACAGATCTAACCATCTTCCTACTGTATGACATCAATAAATAAAGAGTTGTTTAATCTGTCTCTGTCAACAGACCTACTCAGGGCTGTTCTGTGTGACTGTCAACCCCTACAAGTGTCTGCCAGTGTACGATCAGGCGGTGGTCAACGCCTACAGGGGGAAGAAGAGGAGTGAAGCCCCTCCTCACATCTACTCCATCTCTGACAACGCCTACCAGAACATGCTGTCAGGTATGTCAGGCTCTTTGTAACGCAATGCTTTGTAATCTCTGACACCATCCTAACATGTTCATTATTACTGAACACTGTCTTACATTTTGCAGACAGAGAAAACCAGTCTGTCCTTATCACGTGAGTATTTCATAATAGCGACATCTGATTCCATTTTTAAAAAGTACCGTTTATGTTTTTGTCTTAAGTTCACACGCCTGTTGTTTTGCAGTGGAGAATCTGGTGCTGGAAAGACTGTGAACACCAAGAGAGTCATCCAGTACTTTGCCAGCATCGCAGCTGTTTCTGGCAAGAAGGATGCTGCTCAGGAGAAAAAGGTAAGTTTGATTTGATATATTATGATAACCACAATAAATAGATTTTTTCTGGCTTACATTTTTGCATCTATTGAATGCGCAGGGCACCCTGGAAGATCAAATCATCCAGGCCAACCCTGCTCTGGAGGCCTTTGGGAATGCCAAGACCATCAGAAATGATAACTCCTCCAGATTTGTGAGTTCCTTTTTTTGATAATTTTATTAAGGATGCATTCTCTGATTTTCATATTGTGCCCAACTGTGCCCCAAACTCAAATGTCCTCCCTGTTAAGTACGATTTTTTTAATGAATCAATCTTATTTATTTTCTTACTGCTCACAGGGTAAATTCATCCGAATCCACTTTAGTGTCAGTGGAAAGTTGTCTTCTGCTGACATTGAGACATGTAAGCAATGTGACATGAACATCTCCATTTTGCAGCACACCCCCCTGGAAGAATGTGGACTATATCACATCATCTCATTTGATATTTTTTTCAGATCTGCTGGAGAAATCTCGTGTCACTTATCAGCTCAATGCTGAAAGAGACTACCACATCTTCTACCAGATTCTGTCCCAGAAGAAACCAGAACTGCTGGGTGAGTCCTCCATATACATTTGACCTAAAAGAAAAGCCACGAGCTTGGACTAAAACGTTTCTCCTTAACAGATATGCTGCTAATCAGCAACAACCCCTATGACTACGCCTTCATCTCCCAAGGAGAGACAACCGTGGCCTCCATTGATGATGCAGAAGAGCTGATGGCTACTGATGTAAATGAAACATATTGCGGGTTAAAAAATCCACATAT